ATGACATTTCTGTCGCTACCCCAGCAAAAATGAGCCAATCAATGGGCATTCTCTGGAGTGCGGGTAACTAATACCCGCACTCCAGTTAACGCACTGCATGTATATGTATAGGATTTAACCCTGACACATTTTCAACAGAAATGTCTCCAAACTATGATACAATATATGTTTATTGTATTATGTAACATTCATTTTGTCTTGAATATTGAGTCTGTAACTCTAAAAGGAATGATTGAAACTTATTTTAAACAACTTGAAAATTTTAATACCTTTAATGTCAATGGAGGTTTGTAATCCGCCTGGAAATTAAACAAGGAATATCTTTAAAAAAGATTCTTGGCCGAACTAAGACTGGTTTATTTGCATATCGTATCTTAGGAAACATGGGAAAAGAATAATCAGAATTATGATGTTGAGCCTTGTATTGAATTTTACGTTTAAATTTTTGAAATATTAAAATCATATGCATATGTTGGCAAATACAAAGTATTTAAATAGAAACAAAATCTTAAGTCTGAAGTAAAAAGTAAAGAATTGCGAATTAGTACTCCACAGGGAGGTGACTGTTGCGCTACAAATCGAGTCAGTTAGAGTGACCTCTCCTGTTAACATTGCAAATAACGTAAGGGTTCAAAAGAGATGTGACTGTTGCGCTAACAAAGAGTTGGTTAGAGTGACCTCCCCTGTAAACATTGCAAATGTCGAAAGAATTCAAAAGGGAGGGTAATGTTGTGTTCGTTAAAAAAAGAGTCGATTAGAATGACCTCCCCTGAAAATATTGTAAATGGCACAAGGGTTCATAAGGGAGGTAACTGTTGTGCTAAAAAAGAGTTGATAAGAGTTACCTCCCCTGATAACATTACAAATGGCGTAAGGGTTCAAAGAGAGGTAACTGTCGTACTCCTAAAAAGAATTGGTTAGAGTGACCTCCCCTGAAAACATTGCAAATGGCGTACGGGTTCAAAGGGAGGTAACTGTTGCACTAAAAATTGATATGAGTGACCTCCCCTGATAACATTGCAAATGGCGTAAAGGTTAAAAAAGGAGGTTAATGTTGTGTTAAAAAAATTGATGAGAGTGACCTCCCGTGATAACATTGCAAATGGCGTATGGGTTCAAAAAGGTTACTTTGCGTTACAAAAAATAGAGTCGATATGAGTGACATCCCTTGATATCATTGCAAATGGCGTTAAGATTCAACAGAACTTTGCATGATTGCCTACAAGAAGTTTTAAAAAACTTTCTTATTCTATTTTTAGTCTTTTGAAGCTCTGTTTAATAACCCAAATACAAAGTGCATTATCTTACGTTTTGTGGTTTTTGAGAACATTGTTTGAATTGTGTGAAAATTACACATGCAGCGATATAAATTCGCACTAAGCGGTGTAATTTCGTACCGAAATAAATGAAAATAAGTTTTTTTTCTGCACGTAAGACACCAATTTAACCATTTTATTGACATCTGTTATCATGGAAATCCATATATAATTTGGTTCGAAGGTCTGTAGCCTACAAAGTTCTTTGTAAGTGTATAGTAAGTAAAACGAGCAATTTCTGGATAGTAAGTCGCACGAAAACAAAATAGTAAGTTTCACACACAGTTTCCAATAGCTTACTAAAGTGTGACGAAACTATTTTATAATTCTTTTGGTTACAAATTTGTACTTCGTGGGTATTACTATACAAAGTCACGTGACCCCCTCCCCCGTGAAATACATGTATATTCAAATGATCATACAAAAGACAGACAAGTGAAATAGGGAGAAAAACAACAACAACAATAGCATAGTTAAATGGGAGAGCGAAGGGTTTCAAACATAAAAGTGCAAATCATTAAAAATTACTGTGACGTTGAATTACCAAGTGAGCTTCTATACGATTGTACACATTTTTTAGAATTAAACAATATATAGTTGTTGACACTTTCAATCTCAAATAATATGCAGACTTACCCTTTATTGGACTTTCCCAAGTACCGTTAAGACCTAATTATCAACACAGCACAATATGGACAATACACATTTAGTTTCTATATTCGACTTATTCTACTTGAAAAAGAAAAGGTAATGTAATGGGCTGCAAGAAGAAAAAAAGATTAAACTTGAGCAGCACGCAAATATGACACTGGTAAGACAACATACATGTATTTGCAAGTCTTATCATACCTGCTGAATTTGACCGTTACAAAGGTATGAAAAAGGCCATCATGCCATGCAGTCACGCAGACCTTCATCCGTGTGGCGTCATTTAACGATCTCCTTAGGAAATTTGCTATCGAAAATTCCCTTCTTACCGTAATCTAACGCAAAACATATACAATTCATACGGAGAGACTTAATTTTTCTTTCTTTTTTCTTTTTGTTTTAAATTCATTTCTTTTTCTTCAGAAAATAGCTGTTGATATCCTGGTGATAAGATTTAATACAGTGATGCAGGACTATCTAGATCTAGATTTACGACAGAGATCTGGGCCTTCATGCCTAAATTGACATTACGCCGCCTGCCGGTCAAGCTGGTAGGGATCTTACAGATCAGCAAATCAGCGATAGATATGTTTCCCATTGAGGTCACATTTAAAATGAGCAATTATCTTATTATTAATTAATAAATTAATAATATCCACAATTGATAGACGCTGATATTGTATGACGATAGCTTCCTGCAGAAACCTTAAACTTATGGTAATGTCATTACCTAGTATGTAAAATGCAAGCATTGTTGAATAAAGTAAGTTTTAATCAAATAAGAAAAGAGTTGATGACAGAGCTATATTTATATTTGTATTGTAATTATCTACAATCTCTCCTACGCAGTGATCCCTTTGATCAGTAAAATCTGCCAAGGGAGGTTATCACTGTGAGGAGTTTGAAGTATCTGGTATTTTATCGCGACAAAATATGGTTTTTTATTTAAATCTACTATAACCGCTTGTCTGCAGGAATATATAGGTTTGCAGACCTCTTAGGGTCTCCTCTTCAAGTAGACACGAAGCACAAAAGCGTTCCAGATCAGCCATAATAGCCTACAATGTACAACTGTTTATTATGGTGGCTGATTTTGAACGCTTTTGTGCGTCGTGTTGTCGCTAGCGATATCACGACAAAGCGCCAAACGGTGCGTTGTCGGACTTTCGTCTTGTCATCCCGTCGCTAACGATGCACACCAAACGGCACGTTGTCGTGCGGCGTGTTGTCGCGATGTCACATTGTCGCTCGGCTCAAATCGAAGGATTGGCTTATTAGCTCTGCGACAGGGCGACATAGTGACAACGCGCCGCACGACAACACGCCGTTTGGCGCGTTTCGCTAGCAACAAAAAGGCGATAACAATATAACGCTACGCGCAGTGTACCAAATCAGCCACCATAGTTTATATTAAGCTATATCACCTGTTAAACTAATAATAACTGCACACTGATTTTTGATTATTGCATATTCTGTAATAACAATAAAATCTATTCATATTTTTGCATTAATCATGTTCATAGATAATACGATAAACGTGACGATTATGTTATTATTGATTCCAGCATGTTTAAAGTGCTGAAGGTTGAATATGGTGCTGGGAGCGCGAGAGATGATGCACTTTTTATTAGTTATCATGAGCATATGAACATATTATTTTAATACATTAGCTCTCATGAACATACTATTTTAACACATTATCTCTCATAAGCATAATTTTAAATATTTTAACAACACATTACTTTCATGAGCACGATAATTTAACACATTAGTTCTTATGAGCATATGAGCAAAACGTTTTAACACATTAAGCCTTATAAGCATATGAGTATGAAATTTTAACACATTCATTTAGGTCTTATAAGCATATGAGCAAAACTTTTTAACACATTTGTTCTTATGAGCATATGAGCATTATTTTTTAACACATTAGTTCTTATGAGCATATGAGCAAAACTTTTTAACACATTAGTTCTTATGAGCATATTAGCATTATATTGTAACACATTAGTTTTTTATGAGCATATGAGCATTATATTTTTCCACAATAGTTCTTATGAGCATAATAATTATGAGCTTAAAAATTGACACATTAGCTCTCATGAGCATTTATAATACACATATTTTTACACATTAGCTATCTTGAACATGACATTTTAACACATTAGCTCTTATGAACATATGTGCATGAATTTCTAACACATAAGAGGGCATTATGAGCATTTGAACATGATATTTTAAATCATAAGTTCTGATAAGCATTATATTTTTACCCATTAGTTCTCATATTAAGCGAGCTCAGTCAGTGAATGTTGTAAATTTTCATGTTATAGTGTTGTTTAGATAACCCCTTTTTAAGATATTTTTTACAACTATGCAGAAAGAATACGTCATTAAATATCACATATCTTGTCCAATGACTTGGTTAAATTGTGAGTGCACGTAAACTTTATTTGTTTCAAGGACGAAGTTTTTGTGCAAATATTAGTTAATGTAAACAAGGACAAAGATCATCCTAAAACACGTTAAAATACTTGTTGATATATTTTTTGCACAATTATTACTGCATCTCATAACATAATGACTTAAATTATTAATCAAGATGAGTAAAGATACGTTTGATAATGCATAAATGCAGGTAAATAGAATTGGCATGATATATAGTCATCTAATGTATTTAAAGTCTTTAAACAACTTTATCAAATTAATCTGATATATCAGTGTTAAGTAAGTGGGGGTATCATTGTATAACTTGTCATACTTAAAGTAAATACATTTTTTTCATATTGAATATTGCCATTATCCGTTCGACATATCCTTCACCTCTTTTGTGTTTAATTCATCAATATCGTTTAATCATCGAGCTTTTAATCACCAAAACATCACATTTTTTGTCTCACAGATTCTACAAGTATAAGCTTTACAATTATGCCTTTCGGTAAATGCCAAATAACGTATTAAATAATTTTATCTATAATCTTAAAAAAAAAAAAATTGACAAATAGGATTGTTGTTCAGCGCTGATTGCACGTACACCTGAAAAACAAGAATCTTATGTAGGGCGACGTTAGCTATAAGGCCGTGCGTAATGTTCCCGACTAAACAGTAGGTAGTGCGGTCTTAAGGAAGTCGCACTTCTTAAGGTAACACAAAGATGTTGGGACTGAAACTTATTACACTGGGTTTAACTGTGACAACGGCATGTAAGTAATACTTGACATCTTTCAGAGTAATAGGTTACGTGTGAGGCCCTGTCACACTAGACTGTGCTTTCACTGCCTTTGCATGGCGATGTAAAAATTAACAAAGCGCTACGAGATCGCAAAAGAAATGTGATAATTTTGATGACCAAGAGACTTCACGGCGACTTCACGTCGTCCTCACACCGATCATGGCGATACTACGGAGCTTACACGGTGTTTTAGTTGGCGATTGTCTACGATCGGACTGCGCTTCTACTGCGTTCTTTGCGCTTCCACCGCGCTAGTACGGTGCTAAAACGGCGCTCTTGTGGCGCTCACACTGCGCTGAAATCGTAAAGCTTCATAAAAGCGCCATGCACACGCAGTATAAGCGTGGTAGAGACGCCGCACAATCTCCGTACAAGCGCCGTGGATAACCGTCGCGTTCATTCTGCGTTCCTTTTGCGCTTTCACGGCGCTCCTGGTGCGTTCAAGTAGACACTACTGAGTTGCTTCGGCGTCTTTACTGCGACCCCACTGCGCTCTTATCAGAACGCCGAGTGACGGTGTTTGTTTTGAACATGCTAAAAATGCGCGCCGTCGGTCGGCGTTCTATGTGATGCCACAACGATGCTGCGGCGATGTTTGCGATCTTCCTGCGCTCATCTCAGCGTTCTGAATTTTTTCTTTGGACGCCGTGAGAACACCGCCAGAGTGTGACAGGAATTTTACAAGTACTCTATTCTGTTCGTTAAATATATTTTCATGATACTTTCATTTAATTGATAATAAGTCTATGTCAGTTAAACGTTTGGTTTATATAGTTTGCTGTAGCTGGGGAAGTTGGGGTTCATGTAGCTATAGCTGTGGAGGTGGAAGTAGATCTCGCAATGGAAGATGTGGCCTCTGGGGATGGCATCATACCTCTCAAAGTGGAAGATGTAATGAGTTCTGTTACAACGGAGGGTGGTATTATTCGGATTCATGCCATTGCAATGCTTGGCGAACAGGACGTTGTTGCCAAGGTTTGTTATAATTTGATTAACAATCACGATCATTGATTTCTTAAATAACTGCAAAGCTGGAAAAAGGAAATTGAAGATACTGAAAATGATTTCGATCACTAGACTTTCTCCGTTAATGTTTAAAGTGATAATGATTTATCATTCCCGATGGCCGACATTTAATGTATACGCACAGCATACATTGTCTCTATTAAATTACTGAAACTTATTCTAGCATGTATACTGCCATTGCATTAACGCTGACATAATTACAAATTTTCTTTCAATTCAGTTTACGTTATGAACCAGAGTATTATTTACACAAACACTTCACCATTTTCGATTTCTGAAGATATAAGAAAGGATGGTAAAATAATTATATAGGGGAAATACATCATTGATAAATGTACGTAATGGTAGAATAATAAAAATATAACTATTGAGAAAAAATATTGTATGGACATCATAAAAAATATGCAGGTAATGGAGGTCATATTTTCCTATCTAAATGGAGCAGTGCTGGCTACAAGCGTAACGCGCCTTTCGTTATGTATTATTGTAAGCACATGTTTTTAATACGAACAAATGCTGCTCTTAGTTTGCAGACATGTATACATTGCCCATTGCAAACCCGGCAAACAGGCATGTGGCGGAAGCCCTGACAACATAAAATGTACAGAATGTGATGTAAACTACGTACCTGCAGGCTATGGAAATGGATGTAGTAAGTACTCTTCAAATATTTATGATACTGTCTGTATAAACAGTAGATGTATGCCCTTCTTAACTTAATGTTACAAAACCTTAAAATACATAAAGATAAATTATTTATAATTTGCAACACACACTGATGATGTCTTTCTTTTTTATTTACACAGAAACGTGCGCCCATAGATACCTGATTGATGGTGGTGTACCACGGTGTACTTGTTTTCCAGGTTACTTGCTCTCTTCTAACGGATATTCCTGCTATGGTAATGTACTCTTTAATTACAATTTGACATAAAAATGACCAAATAAGTAAATCCCCCTTTTTTTCAAGGGTGGATGCTTCTAAATTGCAGCAACCGTTTATCCCTGCGGGTTCGTAAAAGGCGACCAAACAGAATCCAATAACAGGAGTCTATACACCTCTTAGCTCCAGCAGGTGAGATGGTTTTGATCCCTGGTGGTGCATAAAGTTTGAACGCCCGAGGTTAGTCAAAATCGTTTTTCCTTTTTCGGCGCCATTTGATCTAAATCGTGTTGGTGCGTTGTAAAACTAATCAAAACAACAAAACGAACTAATTTTATATATCAGAAAAAAGATTAAGTATGTATGTTCATAATTTAAATTCGTATACATGGTACCAAACTATGAATCTCACAGATTTCCTATTAAGACAAAGTTATATTTTGATGGCAAAGACCAAATAGTTCAACACAAATCATTAAAGGAGCCACCCCTTAATTCCACAAGTAATGGTGCCATTTTGTGTAACCTTAGGTTTTTTTATCTCAAACATAAGAAATGTTACCGAAGAAACAATAAATATGCAAAATGTAGTTCCCATAATATATTTCATGTGGCAAATAATGAAAAATTTCCAAGTCATAGATTCAACACATTTTACCAAAATCTGAAATCATTTATAACGATAAATCATATTTCAAATTTATTCATTATGTAGTGATGAGCAGTATGTGCATTCCCACTCCAAACACGCCACGACCATGCTTACAAGTAGAATTATTACTAAAATGAAAATTTGTCTTTTAGATGTAGATGAATGTGCATATGGTATTTCAAACTGTGACCAGATCTGCACTAACACTCACGGATCTTTCCAATGTTCATGTAGACCAGGTTTCCGGCTTAATGTCGACGGTCACACATGTTCTGGTATGTACGATTACCCTATTTATTAACATTTATAGTGTAAAATTAGAATAGATTTATCTTGTAAACTGCTTAGTGTTCTTTTATATGTGAAACCTTAGGTTGACATTTCCTATCATTTGTTTCAGACATAGATGAGTGTCTCTCTGGAGAAGCAAACTGCAAACAGAACTGTATAAACACACCGGGCTCTTTCCAATGTGTTTGTCATCCTGGGTATACACTATCAACTGATGGATTTTGTAAAGGTACTAAAATTAAACCTTGTCATACTATGCAAAGTAAATGATCACGGTAAGGTCTTTTACTATTGGCATATAGCCATTTGTTCCATTCTCATAAATATTCCTCTTTCCGTTCTTTCATAATCTGTTGCTCTTGATACAAAATAGTACCACAGAAGTATTATCAATGGCTATCTTCTATCGTACATTAAATGACGCATAACGTTGTAACAGTGTTGGTACATTAACCAATGGCCACATCGAGTCATGCTGGTTTAAAAATAGGCAAATATATCTGGCACAGTTATCATATCTATAAACAGAGGTCCTCAAATTTATTCGCTTTTAGGAACAAAATGGAAGAAAATTGCATCGGTAAAATAATTAAATGAACATAACTAGCATCACTGTCTTTATGAGTGTTTGTAAATAAACTTTTCTTTAATTAAAAGTTAAAAGTTTAAGCATTTGATCACTTATACCATAGCCTTATGCTTTTGTAGATATAAATGAATGCAGTGCAAACAATGGTGGATGCATGCAAACTTGTGTTAACAAGCCAGGATCTTTCAATTGTGAATGCAGAGACGGGTACAGACTTGAAGCAGATCAGATGTCATGCATAGGTCAGTTAATTGGCCAAAGAAGTAAACTAAGCTTTGTAATTAAGAGATAGGCTACAAGTTCGTAATTATATGTACAAACATAATTTGTTGAGGTTACACAATGATAGAAATTATATGCGAGTAATCGTCCGATAAATTCTATATTGTTGTTTAAATGCATTAAATATCAAGAGAACATTTTTCAGATATCGATGAATGCCTTGGTGTTACATGCAAAAATGGTGGATCTTGTTTTAACAATGTTGGCTCTTTTACGTGTTCATGTATAAAAGGTTTCACAGGAATGCATTGTGAGCAAGGTAAATGCAAATTTAAATGCCTCTTAGACCCCCCCCCTTATTTAAATGAAATGCTCTGTTACCATTGTTACCGTTACTGTAAGCCGTATTGTGTAAACCAAAGCGCAAGTAGCAAAGACATATTAATAAAGATAATAAAAATAAAAGAAAATAAAAAATAAGAAAAACACAAAACAATGCAAGGTGACGTTCATCTGAGTATGAAGGTTCAGCATAATAATTATAACAGAATCATATTCAATATTAACAAATCTACTTGCTTGTTACTGTCCATTCACCAGATGGACATTATTGGATTAATATATCACGTGCACTTATCCTATCACCAGTGTGTAATTGACAGCTTAAGTTTAATTTAATAATGTACGTAAAATGCAATTTTTCTAAAAAAATACATTTTTTTAAAATTCATTACATGCAATAAATCAAATGCTTTAGCATGTATCAGTAAAAGACCTTAGTCTAATCATATGCTTTGCCTTTTAAATAGAAGTAACATACAAGAAATAACAATATCGGTACAAAACATATACTAAAATTATGCAGTTTTTGTCGTTCCTTGTAATCTTTGTATGCAAAGTTGCAATTTATTCAAATTAATGTAAGGATTAAAAGCTTAACCATTTTCAACGTACTTTAGATGTGAACGAATGTGAAGGGTTCCTACGTGGTGGGTGTACAGATAGATGTATTAATACTCATGGTTCATTCCGTTGTGAATGCAGTGGCAACACTACTCTAAACAGTGATGGAATGTCGTGTTCAGGTATAAATTTCGTGACAATAAATTCTCGCTTTAGGCGCAACAGTCCAATACTTACACAATTATATAACTTTGAATACGTATGTAGTATTTTGATTGAGCGATAAAACCAGAACTACGAAGCACATTACATAAAAATATTGTTACTTATATTGATAATATTACAAATTAAGTTATAAAACCTCTGGTCTGTTAAAGTTGATTTGACGGCTGTCATCGTATCGTTACACAAAGATAGCGTTTTGTGCGCTTATCCTCGGAAAAGACAATGTTAAGATAGTTTACATGCTATTGTACTTCACAAATTCAAAGATTTGTTTTTGTTTAGGTGGAGAAAACAAACCAAGCGTTTTTGTCCAACATAGAATCACGCGTCAACTTTTACCGAAGGGTTGTTTCACTATATTGTTGACAAGATGTACGGACGGTGAAACAGTTGACGTATTAATGTCTTCAACGTCCCCCTGGTTCCAACTGCGATCAAATAATGCCATAAAATATACGTTTGGTATTGTATTTGTAGAGGTAAACACGCTGTATCTACCCGTTTCGCTTACTGGAATCAGAGTGGAACAATCTAGTAACAATTTTGCAATAGTAACAGGTTCGCTTGCATTGCATGATATTGATGGTGTAGCTATTGGAAATGAAAGGAAAGTTGATTGTTTTAGTTTTACCACCACTCCACGCGATATTCACGACTTTCTTATGTCTTCATCATTCTTGAAGTCCGTTTTTAATAGTCTTGAGAATATTTTGCCAGATTGGCTTAGGTTTTCCCAGACTGGAACAGACATTTTAAGTATAAATGATTTACAAACGGAACTTCTTCGGGGTAATGAAATTCAAACAGGCCCCTGCCAAGGAGCACCTTTGTACGAACATCACCTATACACGGTTTTGAAATTTGGCAGCAGTTTTTCAATAAATTTATACGGAGACGAAATTTTGATACCCAGGTTAAATAAAAACACACAATTTTGCTTGATAATTGACATTTGCCAACATTACGGCGGTTCATGGTTTTTAATCATCCCAGATGAATCGAGAGATATATTCAAAAACTTTAGAATGATAGACATATTCCGACAATCGTATGGTCTAGATGTTCGGCCCTACGGAATTGGGTTGTCTTTGCTTAATCTTATTAATGTACCGAACCATGGAAAGTCTCACAAACTTTGGCGTGGGGATAGCTATTTCAATTATCAGTAAGTGAATTTCATTTTACTAATGACCTTTTGGTTTTGAAGGCACTCATTTTCAATAACAATGATGTATCACTTACATTTCTCTATACATGTTAATAATATTAATGAAGTGCATAATTATAATTATAATCTTAAAAATACAAAAATGAATATAAAATCAAACTCATTTCTACAGTTGTTGCGATAACTTTTGCACCTTTTAACCATCTTATATCGAAATATTTTTTTTACAGCTGCCTCATAAATGATTGCAAACTTATACCTTTTTATTTGTTTTTCTAAATGTTCTGACACCTGTACGAGATAAATAATTATTTACGGAGTAGCATCAAATGTCACATGTTTGAATTGTCATTTAATTCCATACCCTATGGTTGCAAATTTTCAAGAATTGATATTAAACAGATATTACATTTTTGGCGTAAATAAGACATCATTTAGTAAGCTGACAACGGAAAATGTTTTCGACGCTTTATTTGGCAATGATGATTTTTAAAACCTTTTTGCATAGGATAAGCCATAATCAGGACAGAATCGTTAATCAACAAATATTTTTTTTTATTTAATCTAGAACGTACGGGCTTCATACACTTTTTTTATATAAAAACAAAATGATGGACCGTTCCGAAACTTTTTACCGAAATTCTCAGTAACATAGCACTTACATTAAGTGGTAAGAAGTAAATCATGTATCACTGGACTTTTCTTACGACCTAATAGTGTCTTGTTCATCTTGTTAAGATTGTGTCATTTGTTTGAAGGGTATTACCAACAGCGAATTTATGGGCCGATGTTGATACTGTTTGGGCAACAAATGGAGATACCTTTTCATTTGAACTAAGAACACGGTCGGATATTTTTATAAAAACTCCCAGCATAGAAAGTGTAAGTTAAATTTTTACAATTTCATTTTTAACATTTTGTAATGATAAACGGATTTATTAATTTATCATTTTGATGTAATTTATAATTTAAATTCAATTTGAATTCAATCAAAATTTCAGGTACTGCCTTTTTTATACAATTACTTTAACTGGAAAGTACTCTTATTCCATTTTTATATCAAAGTTTGAGAAAACATTGACATGCAAATGATTCTAACTTTGCGGCTAATATTATAGCATTATTCACACTTATGTATTCTATATATTATATTTCTCATGTTCGGATATATATGCAAATAAACTCGAATAATTTTACACACAATCAGATCATATTGAACTTTGTTGAAAAATAAATATGTCCATGTAACACGACAGTATTAAACTTGTGTGTTAAAGCTATTTATAGTTTCTTTTCTTTTAGGTATTCACGAGTATGTTCTTTAATGAATGGGATGCATATTTAGACATGAACCTTTATGCCACATTAGATATAAAGTTTGATCTATTTGGGAAAAAGCATGTGATAAATCTACAAAACATAGGTGCAGGTGCCGCAACGGCAATAGCTTCGATTGGTGGTATATGTTCTTTACAATTTGTAATACAAATTTTCTATGGTTGAATGGGCAAAAATAATTAAAATCATTCTGCATTTCATGAAGCATGCGATAAAATTTTATGTAAATTCTGCGCTAAGATAAAAGTTAAAGTGAAATTCATGGATGCTCATTGGTACTATTGAGTCTAATTAACATAATTATTATATTTAGTACAAAAAAGTTATATAACTATCTTACTGAAGACCGCTGTTTATTTACGAGTGCCTGATTATGCATGACGTAATGCATGCAGTAGATAAGGCAAGCGTCAAACATTAAGGTTGTATTCATAGTTATTTGTATTAATTTGTCATAAAATATAGAATTCCGATTCAAGACAAGAATGTCTGCTTGTTAAAGGATAAAGTTTTATGAAATTCAAATTACTGTCTAAGTAGTTAACATTAGTTAAACCAACGCATGTAGCAAATCTAACACTGTCACTTATTTTCAAGTTGTTTTCTTAAACAATGTACAGGCCTTCCGCCTCCAGGTTATCTTGAAAGGTGCCATATGACTATGTTGTTGCAACGTTAAACCCTGTCAAAAAGTTTGTTTCCTTATAGTATTATTATAAGCAGTATTGAAAATGTGTTTAATGTATTTTAGGGCAAATGCAAAGAGAATGGTGTGGCATAAATGCAAATCCTCCAGGACTGTACATGTCTTTAACTGTTGACGTCAATCCATTTCGTGATATTCCGATTCTAAAAAACGGATTTTTCGATATTAACAACTTAGTATACGCTTTTATCGCAACAGATCCATCTCAAACTAGCAGTAATGGGGATCATATAAATATTTTACAAGAGATCGTTAACCTTAAAGAAACGGCAAACAAATTCGTTAATACAACAATAAAAAATGTAGCCAGTAACATTTCTCTCCTTTTTAATGAATCAGTGGAAACGTTTGGGCATTTAATGAGCTCGGCTGAATATTTAGTTATAAACCTTGACAAACTGGTGCATGAATTATATGATAGTAGTGAAATTATTTTCACAAACCTTGTTAAAAATGTATCTGATATTTGGAGGAATGGCTATAAGCCTTTGCGAAAAAACGCCGAAAAATTTCTTGATTCCATTGAACATAATTCAGCAAATGCAATACATGATTTTGCAAGCCCAATAGAACATGCTATAAGTCAACTCAAGGCACAAATTGGAAGTCCTATAATCACTTTGTTTTCACAAATAAAAGATTTGTACAACAATCCTGTTGGATTTGGGATCCGATATAAGGGATCTCTAGAAGTTTTCTTCATAAAAATAGTTGGTCTTGAAATTGAACTTGTTTATTCGGTAAATCAACTTGGCAAATGCGATCGTTTTAAGAAGCTGTATGAATTACTAAAGTGTGAACGCGCACTGAGGATATATGGCGTTATTTCATCGGGTCTTATAAAAGTATTACCTTTTATTCGTATGGATGTCGGTGCCGGTATTGGAGTAGCAATAAGTTTTGACTCACCGAGCAAAGTGATAGGACAATTGCACGCAGAGGCTTCTGTTCTTGGTATAACGTTAAATTGCGATATATTTCTGACGCCAACTGGACATTACTTTTTCCTACAGGGAAAGATCTGGAATACTTTCATGGCCGAACTAAAAGTATCGTTTGAAAGCAACGAAAGTGGGGTGAAGACATTTGAAGTTCTCGGAAGATTTGTAGCAAATGCAGGGGAAGGTGACTCATTTCAGGACAGCTACTTAGATGGAATCCGGAAAATAACACAAAAGATAGCTGACGAAACTGATCGTCGGATAAGTCAAGTCCAGAATGCAATAAGCACTGCACAAAATGCATTATCAAAGGCACAAGAATGGCTTGAAAATAAGAAAGCTATTATTTACAGTGCAAATAAGGCTTTTGATAGAGCAGTACAAGCATTAGAGTATGCAAAAGATAGACTTGAAGCTGCAAAGATTCCATTTAGAAATGCTTTGAGTGTTCTTAATGAAGCTCAGAGAAAAGTTGACAGTTTATGTAAAATTAGGACATGCAGAAGAATTTGCATTCCTGGAATATCATGCCGCATTTGTCGGTATAGAGTATGGGGATTGAAGATACATTTTCCCTGCTGTCGTTTTACAAACTGCATGCTTTCCTTCCCGGATCCGTTTTGTGTTCTGTATAATTTAGGATGTATGGCCATTAGAAGTATTGCATACATTGCTTTAGAGGCTGCAAAGTTTTTTGTTCGCATCCCAATGGCTGCTTTGGATGCCGCTAAATTGTTGGTATCTGCAGCTCAGTTTGCTGTTGACAAATCAAGAGTTGTTCTTGACATAGCGGTAGGTGCTCTTGAGCTCGCTCAAATCGGACTAGAAGCTTCAAAATTTGTGTTAGAAGGGGCCAAATTGGCTCTTGAAGCAGTAAAACAAGTAGTCAACTGGGGAATCAAAGTTATAAATTTCATAATTGAATATGGCATTCAGAGCATAATCGATGTAAAAAACTGTGGATTTGGAATTAAATTTTCAACAAAACAAGCAACTGTATTTCACGTAGAATGTTATATAAATTTGTTCCGGCAAGGCTTTAGAAAAGTGCGAATTGGAATAAACTTTGGTAGCCCATTACAAAGTATTTGGCAGGCGGCAAAAGGGACAATAGACACATTTGCTGACTTCTCTCAGCGCGAATCAGATAGGAAGAAACGAGAAGTAAAATATAAGGCATTGTCAGGACTTCATAGTGTTATACGTAAAGTCAGAAACGCAGATAGTACTTCAGAAGATTTCGATGGATTTGTAAACGATACAATAGACACTGTTTTTAATACAAATGGTTTTAAGAGAAACGTTTCGGCAGGAGACTATGAAAACAGAGTAGAACTATTTCAGGAAAAATGTTCAATTATGAACAATGTAATTGCATTTTTTTCAGAAGCCATACATGTCCTATTTGAAATGACGAATGAAACAACAAATTCTCTTACCAATGCATCGTCGATTGAAGAGTCTTTAGAGGAATTTAATATTGATGATATAGCGTCAAATTTCTCAGTTGACACCGTTGGCATCAATACCGATGAAGCGATGAGTAACTTTAACATAAGTGTAGATGATATTAATATCGTTATGCAGAAAACAAAAGAAAATATGACAAACGACCCTTTACTATTAGGTATAGGAAATCTGACGAAGGAGGCCAAAACGGTTCTTAAGAATCAAACAAAAGATGCCAACAGTGTAAATATAATTAACCACTGGATACAGGCTATGGAAAATGCTACATTTGAATATTTCACCAATGATAGCTGTGTATCATTTTTAGACTGCGCACATTTTGCAGTTTCTCAAATGTACGGACTTTTCGATGCGGAAAATGTTCCGAATATGTCACAAAGTTTAGATGCAATATCTAGATTTGAAGATAATATTCTCGATCTGTTAGGCAACACAACATATACCATAATAGAAGTTTATAATCTCACTGCCGAAATTCAGAGGACACTCGATGAAATTAACAATTATGATGTGTTCTGTTCTGAACCTCCAAAATTATTATCTCAGCTTGGGAATTACAATGTGACAAAAGGAAGTACATTGCAACTGTTTTGCAATGTTACTGGTAATCCAAAGCCGAAGATTTGGTGGTATCGTAGTGATGAACATTTACCAAACCAAAACAACCAGCTGCTTGAGCTATATGCCGTTACAAAACTGGACGAGAATAAATATCATTGTGTTGCTGGAAATTTAATTGCAAATCTTACATCAGAGTATGGGGAAGTATTTGTATATGGTAATTGATTTAAGATTATATAATACAGTTTTTTTTAATAAATTCATGTATTTATGATGCTTTTGAACGTGTAGGGTTAAATAATTACTTACTTACAAATTTGAACAATTTTTCGACTTGCTAAAATGTTAGTAGAATAATGCATTTGAGAATTAGACTGAAACAAAAACCCTTAAATAGATATCATTATGTTTCTTTTAATTGAATTCAGCTTTTAAGTTTGTTTGCACTTAGAAAATAGCCTCGAAGTACACACAAGCAACAACTCGACACGCCAAAATGATTTTATAGACGGCAATATGAACGAATCAACAGGTAACTTTGCTTCTCTTTGTGGAAATATATTTACCAATCATTAAATATTTAAGCATGAACGAGCAAAAATGAATTTCTAAAGACAAGTGACATACTACTTTTAGAGCAATCAGCTTTTGTTTTGATTTATCCAATACATTAGCTAGTTCCAAATTATATTAATTGGTATTTCTAAAAATACAAGTTTGTGTTACAATAGTCAGTGCTAATTCAATTCATGATGCTATCTAAATCATGTCAAAAACATAGATTTTTGACGCTTGTACAAAGTACTTTTTCATTTTATAGATTCTGGAAGTCTCGTGATAATATTGGGAACAACCTTTGGCGTTCTTCTTTTCATCGTTGGTGTAGGAGCTGGATTTGCAGCGCGCTTGCATATCAGGTAGGAAAGGGCTCTATATTATATTGATTATGTATATGTTTACGATAACATGCTTAATGAATTAAATTTTTATATGGAGATGTTACCAATGATTTCCAGATAGATAGCACTTAGAGTAAAGTGTGCACAATTATTAAACATTGCCTGTAAAACATAATCAATGCTACGTGCTGTATAATAATTATGTTAAAATGAAATCAAATATAACCGCTGAAATATATTCAATATACTCTAGTTTATGCTAAATTAAAATTATATATCTTAATTTTGAGACATGTCCTCTTTTTGACGATTGGTCTGTACTATACGGTGGCACATAGTTGACATATGCACTTCTTTGTTTATTTCGTGGCGACGAGATAACTATGTCGTTGGAACAATATATCATCTTATGATAACGAGGTATCATGTTGCGACCACGAGGCAAGTAAATAATTAAACATGCCACTTTTGTGCCCCTGTAATGTTAATAATTCTTCTTGTCATTCATCGGTGCCATCTTGCTTTATGGAGTATAATTTTATCTTTCAGGAAAAGATCGAGAAAGAAAAATGGGTTGACGTCTTTAACAAGTTTGAATATGGTGCGCCCATCAGGTTCAAAACCGAAGTTTAATACTAATCTCGTTGCCTATGAAGCATCGTCGGAGTAGCAAACTATTTGGAAAACATTGTCGAATTTCCAGAAACGAGTTATGAAATTAAATTAACGAAATAATGTTACAGTTGAACATAAATAATGTGTTGTCATCTTACATTAATAAATAAGAATTTACATAATTCACTGAACTATCCATCTCATATTTTGGAATGAAGTTTGCTTTTAAAGTCGACCTCTAGCCATTTTATGTACATATCCAGTTTTCATGATTAATTACTTACATTATACCTCCTCGTTGCAAATAAACGGTGTCAAATTTATTGCTTTACCTTAACCAAACATAAAAGAGATATAAACTTGATTTTTGGAAATCAAGGCAAGATCACAACGCGACCGTGAGTTTTAGATTTGATAAATATGATAGGTAGTTTGATATAATTAAATCGCTTCATAGACAGGCTTGGCGTCAGAATACTTTTTATCACCTAGCCATTTTTTTCTTTTTGCAATAATACTTGTAAATAGATGATTACTCTCTTTTTACAAGGCAATGAATTGTAATTTAAAATGATACACAGATGAAACATCATAGATTACAGGTCGAGTTCAAATTATGCTTTAGACCACTTATTTTGCAAATATTACAGGTGGTTGATTGGGTTTAAGCTCTAGTTGTAACAAGTGAAAAGTTGTGGTAAATGTAATATTTTGTTACTCGATTTCTGTGTTTGAAAATCGGAAACAACACAATCATATGAAAATAGGTGTACATGCACGTATTATATTGACTATAAATAAAAAAGTACATTTGACAGAACATATTGCAAACTTTATTTTACTATACCCTCTTTTTGACGAATAAATGTTTTACTCGACGAATGAGTTAATAACATTGTAAAATGTAAATAGTTCTATGTGTAGGAGTTCACAGAAGTCCAACAACTTTAAAATATAAATTTGAAAATCTAACATTTATCACTTCAAATGGAAAAGTATGAAACAAATGATCAAAAATGTAATCAGAATTTAATAATCGATATTTAGTGCGACTCTTATTAAAAGTGTTTATAAGGCTTTAGCGTGTAAATGCTTTTTGACGTTAAGATAATTTTGAACAATATAAATAATTATTCTCAAAAACAAAAACAAAGTAATAAAATGACCTGAAAATTTTAACACAGTCATGTTCTTCATCATATTGTTTCAAATGCTTCCATGTCTTAAAACCTCGGTGGAGCCTATCAAGAAAATCAAATCATTTTTGGCCATGTATTTCTCTACTTCATTTTGGGCGTACTTTTGGATTCCGTTTTTCTTTATTTCATAGGAAATTATATATGTTCATATTTTAAAGTATTCACCATGCATTCAATTTAGATTTGCTCTTGTCTATTTGCATGTAAGGGTAAAGTCGATTTATTATTTATATCACATATTGCTTTCGCTGTACACCATATATGCTTTGACAGGTTTGAAACGTTTCGCTATGAAATGTACTAAACACATCATTTTAATTTTTACATTGTACTTGCTTATATCGTTTTGCAAGTTTACATATTTGTTTTTTTTACACATTAAGTAGATGTGATACCTAATTTTCTAAGACAATGTTAATATCAGGTATAAAATATAACGTTAATTTTGTATCCTGTTTTATAGTTTTTTCATTGTTTCTTTGTAGATTCTTAACTTTTAATAAAAAGTACTTGTATCAAATATCTTTAATCTGTTTCTCTTCGTTTTTGATATTGCCTATTGGGATTGATGGCGATTTTCTTCCAAACCTTTTATACGAGTATGATATTTGTCGATAAGTCGACGCTCAACGTTCAATTTATTGATTTTAATTTATGAGTGACTTTTATTGATATAAATTTGTTCTGGTTTAATTTGTGTTTTATATAACATTAAAATGGGTAATAAATCTAGCAATTAAGTAATGTCGCCAGAACCCCTGGTATCAAGGTCAATGTCACTGTTGAAAAATGATATTTATATGATAACGTAAGTTAGCAATGAGATATTGTTATCAAATTTGGTATATAGCAAGCCAATATGAAGACCCTGGTTGACGTTGCCTTTAAACTACAAGTGTATATAGAGATAATGCTTGGTATTGCGTATGGTTCCCCTAGGCTTGATGTGGAGACTTAAAATTGCTTTTGGGCAAGTTCAAAATTTTCTTATGATCACTTTTTAACTGAGTAGCAGTGGCATATAGGGACCACTTCTACGTCGTCAGTCTGTCCGTCCGGCACATATGCATGACTACTCCTCAGAAACTACTTGTGAAATTTCACCCAAGCTTTACCTGAATGATCAATATCAAGTCAAGTTTTGCATATCGTCTTTGCAAAAATAACAATGCTTAACCGATGATTATACTCTTTTAGCAAGGCATTGAATTGTTATAATTATTGGTACACAGAATAAACATCATAAAATATAGTTAGAGTTCAAATTTTGCTTTTGAAACACTTATTTTTCAAATAGTTAAGAGTTTAATACTTTTTGTTTTGTTTTGATTCATTGATTCATTGATAGGGTCTAACAGTAGAAGTGTGTCTTTTTAAAGTTTTGTTTTTATAATGAGGTGATTGTGCTGAAAGCTCTTTGTATACTACTGAGAATTAATATAACTACTTTTGCTTAACATAAGACTTATTTGAATCTTTGAATATATACACGTATCACATGTTTATATACCCCGTACAATATAATCACTATCATGATATGGAACATGACATTGACTTAAGCGAATGGGATCGCTAGACTAGGATCACGTGAGTTGCAGAGGCGAAGATACCTAGAAGGGAGGCAAATGTGATTAAAATATCAATAAACTCTTTTAACGACCCTTTAATTATATACCTCATCGTTCTGTTTGCTTCAAAGACTTGATAAAGGCCATGAAAACACAATTTACAAAAGGATATTTCATGAGTGTATGTACTATACTGAATTGATTGAAAGAGTTATATAAAACTATATTATGCGAACATCCGGCCTCTGTCTTTAATTAAATTAATTTTGTAATAAATCTATATTTATATACAATGTATGATATTGTTTGATTCACAGTTTACTGTAGAAGAAACATTTTGTTTTGTCGCTTCTACTGTAACATTTACAATTAACTTGCATTTACAGTATATATGCAAAACAATCGACGTCACCTCAAAATATATGCACGGGTAGGCGATGAAACTACATATTCCATCATAACGTAATACCACGAAGTTATTCTTTAATTTATCTAGACTAAAAGGAATACAAATGTATACATGTAAAATGTAGCAAAGTTAAAGTAATGCACAATGAATTCACAGGTAGCCGGGTCCGCAATAATAAATGTCATATTTTGATTGTAATGTCTGAATATTACTCTTAAACAATTTGCATTTATTCGAAGTAGCGTATGTATTATACTTTGGAACGTCTAAGGTATGTGAACCATTATATCTTTTTAAAGTTAGCTATTTCAAGACAGGAATTCATTAATAAGCCAGGAATAAAGTAACAATATCATTAAATCATCAATTAACAATTCCTGAATACGCTAAACAGATTGTATAGATTACTATATAAATATATCGCATGCCCAAGAAGATCTCACAATGCCTATTTATATAAACATTTTAATGAATAATTGAATACTTTAGAGCTTATTGGACATATGGATAGCACGCATAGTTAGATAACAAACCAAGAGTTAATTCTACATACATAACTGTTAATATTACAATTGATCAGCATTAAAACACATTGTTATAAAAAATATTTATAGACGAATGGCAAAACAAATAAAACAAGCACGAATAGAATCTTGAGTCATGAAAATATTGAATGCTTTGTAATTATAAGATGCATTTCCTTTTGCAAAATTTGATACAGTTTGATAACAAGGACTGCCTACCTACCTGTTCCACAGCATTCATAGTGATTTCTTGTGTATTCTTAAATCTTATCTTACGTAAGAACATTCAGCTTGGCAGACTTGTAATAGGCAAATACATAAATGTAACAAGTATGCTTTATGGTTACGTAAAAATTGGGTCTGAACGTACAAGAGACAGTTTTACTTGAGATGATACATGCAATACTCGTACATTGCGTGATGATGTAGCTCAATAAAATATTTCTAATCATCAGGTAGGACAAAAATAGGAATGTAACCAAGTTAATTGTTTTATTTATTAATTAGTTTTGCCGCATGTCAGTTCTTTGTATGAGAAATGCACCTTTTCTATACAAAGTTCAGCATTTCTTTTGTGTTTTGTTTTTCATACTTGAAAAAGAGAAGAAACCGTCAGTTTAAGACAAAACGGAATGAAATGGGTGATATTTCCCAGGTTATGTCATCAAATCATTTGATTTAATATGCTAACACTGCCAAAGATTTGAATTATATCGTATAAATATAATTATGTGTTATGCTGATATAAAATGTTCATATCAAAACAAATATATTGGCTTCGAAATATGTTTAAATTGTAATATAAGACTATAAGTTGAATAGAAAGATGTTAAAATTGCAAATATAAGAAAACAGAATAGACTAAAATCAACAAACTATACAGACACGATCCGTTAATTTTTGAAGTATATCAGTATCGTATAACAATAACTAGACAAAGCTCTGCCCCGTTGTATTTTGTTTTATGAATATTTCCATTATAACGCCGTTATATAAATTGAAAAACCGGTAGTAGCACCGACAGGTTTGCTAATTGGGTAGAGCGTTAGATTGTGAAACAGGCGATCCGGGTTCGGCGCAGGTCACTTTCGTTGTGATTGATCATGAAATTTTTTCTACGGTCATTTGCATTTAGCCTCCGCTTTGACATGTACATAAATTATCAGTTCTTATAGAAGTGAAAAGTGAAGGGAACTAGCACTGGTACACAGCTTGACAGCCTGCCTGACGATGCGGTAGCTGAACTGTGCTCTGGTTGATCCAATGTGGTTTACTGTCGTGATTCGGAGTGAAATCTACTACCACCACCGCCAAGATGTATAGTACATTGTGGGAATAAAGCTGATAAAGCTTAGCTTTACATATGTTGTATTTAAAATAATTTCTTTAAAAAGTTAGATTTCGATAATGGACATATCAAATGTAGGACGTTTGATCATAAACACATACATGCTGTTTGATCTGTTTTATATTATTTTTGCTTGAGTATTTGCTCATTGGTTCAATGCACATTATAACATCAAACAAAGTGAATTAGATAATGAAAAAACTGACCTTTAGAGAACGGATTATCTGTTTGACAATAACTGTTATCACCCTAAGGGTTAGTGATTTAAAATGATTTGAAAGTTTCCCCAAACCTCCTATAATAATATTAAGCAGAAAGAACTATCACTCATTGCTAATATTTTAGTGCCCAAACAAAACAATCATTATCAACGATTCATTATTTCTATATACACAGCATGTATATTATCATTTAATGTTATACCTCGAAGGTAAAGTATGCCGTTACAAATAACAAATGTTTCCGATCTGTTTTAAGTGATTGATTGTCGGGGATTATTTTGTTGTCTTTAATGAACAGATAAAAGTCAAATGGGAGCGTTCTTTTATCAATTGTATCAAAATTTAGTCAAAGATATATTTCATATAATTCTCTTGTCGCTTTGGTAAACGCATTTATCCTTACATTGTATCACGCAAGGCATTCTAAATAGAATTTTCTTTCCTTCAATCTTAACATTTTTAGGGGGATTTTCAAATTTACATACTGAATTTGTTATAGCAGAAAGTTCAGAACGTGATCAAACGGGACGGATGTGCCGGATGGCTGATATCTTGGACTGCACTAGTCGCCTGGGAAAATTCTATTGCCACTAGCTGGCTGAGAGTAAAATAAAGTTTACATTCATCGTTTTCTTATTCGTAATCCTTAGCCTATTTCAGATTTATTAATTGTAGTGGGAATATCTGGCAGAATTATTTTATTTGTCCTTCATAAATGTTTTTGTTGCATTTTGCCAACAGCGTTTATGCAAATGTTTCATTAGTATCAATACGGTTTGTTTTATGGGGATGTGGGCGTCCAGAAATAATAAAAAACACGCAATCGCATAGTCAAATCTATCTTGTACTTTCGTCACGTCATGTAAAACTATCACGCTACGAACAGCGTCATATGGTTTATTCGAAAACGTTAGTTTGATAACACTTATACTATAAAGAAAGTATACATTGAAAGTAAAGTATGATTAATTACGCACAATCTGTGATGAATGATGAATAAATTTTACCAGACAATACCTCATAATAAGACAATATTAAATGAAAGACGGCGTGTATATCAATAATCAAAGAATCAAGCATGTTTCACATCAAATTGATAAACTATCTTATTAATAGCCTTTCTTTGAATGAAAATATGAAATGATAACGTAGACCAGTTTTAGGATTTGAGTTTTAGTTTATATATACACGATGACGTCGATGCACCACTGTTATGTTGATTATTTAGTGTTTCATTAACAATTTAGCGTTCCTTCCGAAATTCTACGTTTTTTTAACAATCAAACTTGTTCCTTAAGGAAATGTAAAGACCTTTTACGCGAAATTATTATTTGAAAACTGTTTGAAGAATTGTATCTTACTATAATTGTGGTGACAATGGATAACTAGTTAACAACATATTATATATACGTCCGCGAATTCGAAAACTTTTGCAAATGTTAATGAAGAAGTTAAAGACATTATTGTTAAATAGCAATATTATAGCAAACAAAAACACAAAAAACCCTAAACAACAGCAACAACAACAAAAAATAAATAAAAACAAGAAAAAACAAACACTTATATTGTTTTACGACTTAAACAGAACTATGCCTTTTCCTGTTAAATCATTTTTAGACGATAAATAACAGAGGATATAACTTTCTTCACAGTCAACTTGATTTGTCGCATGAAAAGAACAGTTTATACGTCTTTATATGAATACGAGTATTGAGTATGAAACATTAATATGTAATCGAAGTAAATGCATCCCCAAAACATGCCATTTTAAGAAAGACAATAGGTACATACACCAACGATATTTTACTAACAGTAAATAAGCTTATTGTTACAGTATTCACCATAGCATTTTTCATAAGTGTAGACAAAAATTTATAAGGAAAAGAATTGACAATTAGAACATGGTGTTGATAGCTTAACCGAACGCAACAACAAGTTTCTTGAACACGACTACTGTAGATTCTAGACAGCAAGCTCTGGAGTGGATGAAATAATGCAATAAGCTTCAAACTCTTTCCTCGCCGTCGAGCTAGATATATTGCAAATTAACATTGACTACCTCTCGATCTTTAGACAAACAGTGCTGATTTGCTAGTAAATTAACTTTATTTTTCTAGTATAAACTTTATGAACATGATAAAAAGAGAATGAGTTGTAATAGAAAAAGACATCTATCACCATTGCAAATGATTAAAAATGAACCTTGATAAATATGTCTTTGATTCCAATTTTTATAGTTGTGCAGAGATAAGTCTTGCATTCTGTTTAAGCTTGTGATTTTTGGAGAGGCGATAGATTGCGTTAACCACTGTATTCCATGAACAGACCCCTACATCGCTTGTTATTTTGCTATGCCCAATGATTTTAGGCTGTACATAACACTATTTAAGGTTAGGGAAAAGGTGATATTTTAAAAAATCAATGCACATTTATGTTTTTCTTTTCGTAAATATTTTGGTATCGCTATTATTTTTCATATGTTTGAATAATATTTTCATATTTTATAGGAACTGCATAGAAATATAGAATGCAAATAAGAACTGATTATAGCGATTCTTTATTTCAATTTCTGAATTTCATAATTACGTACTAGAACAATGTATTAACGAAACAATTGTTTCGTTTACAAATATATAATAAGGTTATAAAAGAAGCTCTGGAAATCATTGTTGAATTGTTTCAAGAGGAAGTATTTGTACGCATTTGGTATAATAGAATTACACAACTGTTACATACACTTTGTTAACAGTAATGTTTTTTCGTCTGTCTAATCCCTCGGATTGATAAATACATTTTCAATAAGTTCCAATTAATGCCAGTTGGTACAAAATGATTCAACGCTTTTTATTCCACTCGTTAGAAAGTTTTATCGGTGTGTAAAATATATATCTAAATATCCTCCTGATTTTTTTCAAAATAATATTAAGACGAAATCACTCTTTATATTGTCCATGGAAATCTATTTATGTCTCTCATCCACTTATATAAGATACGTTATTGTCTTTCGTTCGTTTCATAGTCTAATATTAAATATACCACAGTCGCTTTCCGGAAACAATAATTGGAATAAAATACATTTATTATAATTCTTGAATTATTTGTTAATAGATTTCAGTATTATATAAACTCGAGGTCAAAGTGAGTGATCTTGATCACTGCCGCATTTAATTTAGCTTCTAAATTTTATCCACATTATTGGACCAAAATACTTTTGAGTTCACGTTAATTAATTGGAACAAAAACTAATCATCATCACCTGTGAAGAAAAGCCCAAAGGTTTTCCTTTAAGAAAATTGTTCGCTTTAAAAACATTTATTTTATATTGTTCTACAAGCAAAATGACCAAACCAACACGTTTTACTTCGACATGAACCTTCTCTAACAAACCTCGGATTGTACCCGCTCCCTAAATCTCTCCAACCATATTTACAGTTACATGACCAAGGAAGTATTTCACTCTTTTCGGCTATCATTCTTTCTCGGACCCTCTTTAAACTTTGTAATAATCCACTATCTTGAGCGTGTTTAACGGAGGTGAAGCGTTCGGAAATTGGTATAAAGAAATTATCTTCGTTCTGTACCGGTGGCCAATCCAAGCTGGACCTTGTCTGATAAATAGAAGAAGGTCGGAGTTGAGCTACAGTCATCTGGGACATATTCCATACAACCAGCATTCCATACAGTGTAACACTTCCCTGGAAAAAAAATTGCGCCAGATTGTAAGGGAAATATTCATTTATCATTTATTTAGAAATTCTATTCTTTTCTAAATGTAGTTTAAAAATTCAACCTTTGGCTTAACTATCTAACTAATCTTCTAGAACGCAATAATAATAGAAAAATATAATGTAGAGAAATAGTTCTTATAAAATTGGAAAAATAATGTTTCGTTAAAATAGGTATGTATGAATCAAACAATTAAAAACAATTACACATCGGGAAGAAACTATGCAAATATATAACAGAAATTCGACGAATGATGGCTTTGTAAAAGTAAAAATTATAGAAAATAATCTTTGTAACAAAATTAAATTTCAATTTCAAAACAAGTTAAAAAAATATGCAAAAACAATCATTTTAAATATATGTATAGTTGATTTGTATAGTTAGTCTTTACAATATTTTTTTGTAACAAATTTAAGTTTTTTTTAAAAAAATCCAAAACGAGTTTAAAACAACAAATATCTTGATAAAAGTAAGTTGTAATGAGTTTTTTTTGACAAAAGACAATAAATTCCAATTTATATTTTATTGTGTTAAAGGTAAAAAAAAACCTCATTTTCAAAACATTTAACTATCAAAACTTACGCAAGTTGAAAGTCAAAACATTGCTTTTTACCTTCAAGTAGTTAAATAATTAAACTATGATCCGAATTTATATAATTATATTACAGAGACACAAACAGGAATACAACGAAATCACAATATGATAAGTATATAGTTATTTACCAAGTGGAAGTACATATCCTTAAGCCAAATCATAGCACCTAATGCAATTTTCAACTCCATATCTTGATATAGGTCTTCTATTTAAAGCCAATCTATTGACCATTGGAAACTTTATATTGTGGAGAGGCCCCCATAAGGCGAATCAATTACTGTTAATTTGCCGAAAGGTGATGACTGTAAAAATGTATAATGTCAATTTAATTTATATCACAGAGGAGAGACATTATTGCATTTGATGTCACAACTTGAGGCGAAACAAAGCTCTCGATTAGAATTTGCTACGCTGATTTGTTTTACATGTGTATTTAATAAACTTCATGAATGCATTGCGTTATTGTTTTATGTTTAAAGGTAATAGTTTAGCAGCCATAAATATTTATATTAAATTGTATGCTACTCGGAAAATAGAAATTTTAGATAAGCTGGTTTAATTTCTATGAATTAAGCTTTATGATTCTTAAGTTAAGCATGATAAATGTATACAGCAAATTAAATAAACGATAATAAATAAATAAATAAAAAAATAAATGAAAATAGTTACTAAATTGATAACAAATGACTGTATATATTGAATGAATGAATGAATAAATAAATAAATGAATGAATGAATGAATGAATGAATGAGTGAATGAATAAATGAATAATTGAATGAATGAATGAACGGACGGACGGACGGATAAAAGAACAAACGACAAAATGGCAATTAAAACACTTGATTTTGTGCAAGTCTTAGTTCTTAATATTTAGTGCATATTAAACATGTATATTTTTATAAATATAAAAAAAAACATCTTTATAGTAAGTATATATCATGAAAGATAATATTGAAGTGACAAAATAGGACAGACAAGCAAATCTATCTACACCTAACGTTTAAAATAGAGTAACATTACAATATAGATCTTGATAAAAAACACTTTTATTCTAGTCTTTTGTTGTAATTTTAAAATTGCCAGTTAAAATAGCCATTTTTCATATATATTTTACGTACGGATCACATCTTATATGTTTTTTTTCATAAACGCGAATAAATAATACAACAAATAAAGACACATGTTAATGTACGACGTATATTATTTGTATGGCAAGGAGAACCTTATGCGTAAGATGATATAAAATCCAATCATCCCAATTACCTTTACCCGAGTCAAGGCCTCAAATATATAAAACTTTCCAATTTGAGCCTATATACCCGTGGGCAGAAATATAATATCCCCAAAGTACCGTATTGTCATAAATAATTAACTAATTAATTGGTAATAACTTTAAATTCTTTCAACATTTCCGAGATATATGTGTAAACGTATTGGGGCAGCTTCCCACAATACTTGGAATCACAGAATGATCGATTTGATTATCCAGTGTCAAAGGCACAATAAAAATTGCTGAGTTTTTCATTACGAATATTTAAAAGCGCCGTAATTGTGACCTTTACAGTGATAATGTTGCGATTTAGTAAATGCTGTGAAGGCTTGCAGTGTAGTTAACGTTACAATTCAAATAAATCGCGGCATTTCATTAAGAATTAAATTATATATCAAAGATTAAAGCAACTTATATTACCGAAGATGTAGTTCATCGTGGTACTCGCAAGAAAAAAGTCCCACATATTTAAATGATGATTTATTTTTATAAAAAGAAGTAAAACGTTGCACCGTACTTCATGTAAGCGTTGCAATACATTAACATATATTCAAATAAAAATGTAGTGTTTATGATTATACATTGTCAGTCGTTTAAGATATTTCACATTTCTTTATCAGTCGTAGGCTGACACAACAAAACTGATTGCACAATTTTTATATTCATTGTTCTCACAGTATCTACCTTTGGCTGGAATTCAAAGACTTTTAAATTACAGTAACCAATGTACTAAAATAATTTTCAAATCAAAATTGACATTTTGTCTCTTGTTTATCTATTCTGTCACATTTATAAGTATTGTATGGTATCATATGCTGATAAAACGATTCGTACATAGAGCAGATGTATGGTGGCATCTTTCTGCCACCAGATAACCTGATACCTAACTAGTTAATTAAGAGGTTAACTAGTTACGTAACTAGTTAACCTGATACCTAACTAGTTAATTAAGAGGTTAACTAGTTACGTAACTAGTTAACCTGATACCTAACTAGTTAATTAAGAGGTTAACTAGTTACGTAACTAGTTAACCTGATAACTAACTAGTTAATTAAGAGGTTAACTAGTTACGTAACTAGTTAACCTGATACCTAACTAGTTAATTAAGAGGTTAACTAGTTACGTAAGATGCGGTACTTAAACAAATAAGATATGCAAAAGATAATTAAGAAATATACTCAGATATAAATCGTACTTTGTGTATTTCTTTGTTGTAACGCTTTTCAATCTTTTATCATTATATTTTTTCACTATAAAAATAATTATTCTGGAAAATAGGAGATTTAGAGCAAATGAACTGAAAGTTTTCACATAAGTGGTCAATACTTACATCAAATGGAACATTAATCTCGAAAGTATTTCTAGTTCAGTGATGTAAAAAAGGACACTTGAAAAAATCTACTACAAGATGGTTATCCACACATTACTTTTTCTTTAGTTAATTTCTACTTTAAAAACAAGATAAAATACTCTAGAAACTGCATAATATATGAACATTGATAAAATTAAAGATACATCTGCACTCGTCTGTGGAGTTTTTTTACATTGTTCTCTATTTTTTTTCTCATCAAATTTTAGTATAACGTTTTGTTATTTTTTACAATTTCAAGAAAAGAATACGGAAAAAATACTTTCTATGTTTCTATTTTTCATAAGATATTATGAACATTCCTTTTATAATTACAAACTCCCACAATACTTCGTTAGCTGTTATGCTCAGTATCGCGTGTTTCATTTGTACGTGATGACTTATTAATTTCCAGTATGCACGCACATACAATTTTGTGTCTACACTGGATGTATTTTGTCAAGTAAAGGTTTTATTATGAACATCGCTACTTTTCTTTTTGCAACATTTATACGTATAAAACAGAAGATATAATGTTCCATATGTAAGCATGATTGAATGAATGAATGAATTAATTAATTAACGAAACCCTTAAAGTTTGAAGAATAATTAGGAAGAATGCATTTGTTTTCCTAATTGTTTTAGAATTAGTTAAAGAAGAAAAACTATATATATATATATAAAGTAACATTGGGATATTTAAAGGCATACGTTTGTAAGTAATGCGTTACTATTTGTTATCAGATTTTGTCCTATCGTACTGTTGCGATACAACCTTGATATCGATATGTCTGAAACGATTTAATTATTCATTGAAATGATCATTAATAAACATCATGAACTCACCATTGTTTAGCATGAAACAAGTATCTTATCTATCGATTAATTTGATAAAATCGTCCATTGTAAAGTAAGCGCGCTTTTATGAATGCACTGTTTACATCAAGAGCTAATTTAAGTCATATAGTTACGTTGGTAAAAGTTGCTTCGTATATGGACATGCAATGTCTATCGTATATAAACAGAACATATTGTTTTGATAAACATCTTTATATTGCAGAAGCGAATAACTTTTGTCGTCACTTGTTTGCTTTATTATTTATTAGCTGCTGAAGCTTTGGACATGGACAATGTTTTACGCAATCGCAACGTCATTTACAAGGTGTTTTCCAATTGTCAACAAATATGAGTAATATGAGCTTACTTTTTATGCCCCCACAATGTGGGAGCATATAGCGTTGCACTTGTCCGTCCGTCCGTCCGTCAGTCCGTCCGTCCGTCAGTCCGTCAGTCCGTCCGTACGTCCCGAAATCTTGTGAACGCAACTCCTCTTAAACCGGATGGCAGATTTTGCTTAAACTTACAGGGATGAACAACCTTAATGTGTAGATGGTAGTAAAGGAAGGAATTTTCGCTGCGACCAAATTTAACAGAATTATGGCCCTTTGTTGATTTTTTCACTAGATACTATGTAGAAATTTTGTGAACGCAACTCCTCTTAAACCGGATGGCAGATTTTGCTTAAACTTACAGGGATGAACAACCTTAAGGTGTAGATGGTAGTAAAGGAAGGAATTTTTGCTGCGACCAAATTTAACAGAATTATGGCCCTTTGTTGATTTTTTCACTATATACTATGTAGAAATTTTGTGAATGCAACTCCTCTTAAACCGGATGGCAGATTTTGCTTAAACTTACAGGGATGAACAACCTTAAGGTGTAGATGGTAGTAAAGGAAGGAATTTTTGCTGCGACCAAATTTAACAGAATTATGGCCCTTTGTTGATTTTTTCACTATATACTATGTAGAAATTTTGTGAACGCAACTCCTCTTAAACCGGATGGCAGATTTTGCTTAAACTTCCAGGGATGAACAACCTTAATGTGTAGATGGTAGTAAAGGAAGGAATTTTTGCTGCAACCAAATTTAACAGAATTATGGCACTTTGTTGATTTTTTCATTATATACTATATAGAAATTTTGTGAACGCAACTCCTCTTAAACCGGATGGCAGATTTTGCTTAAACTTCCAGGGATTAACAACCTTAATGTGTAGATCGTAGTTAAGGAAGGATTTTTTGCTGCGACCAAATTTAACAGAATTATGGCCCTTTGTTGATTTTTAGTTTTCAACTTGTGGCACATGTAGTCCAAAAAATATTTGTCCTAGAGTCATAAGATTGACAGAACAGTGGCGTGTGGGGGCATCAGTGTCCTATGGACACATTTTCTAGTTCTATCTCAAACTGATATATGCAAGAAATACACTTCGTTTGTTTTGACATAATTTTAGCTTAACACATTTCTTTGTATTTATATAAATATTGTCTGCCACATGTTAATTTTTGTTTTCTGTATTTTTGGCATGCTATCTTAACACCAGTTGACTTTGCTAAAGTGAACACAAAAATCACGTCTATTAAGTGTTATAACGAAAAGGGATTGCTTTATAACACTTTCTTAGTCTCGCTAAGTTTAAATCTAAAATATAATACAACTCATGTTAAGTCTTATATCTATTTGTTTGTAATTATTTGGTACATTGTGTTTTCCGCAATAACCAGCTTGACATTGATATTGCCAAATCATGAATATAACTGATTGACTTTTGTAAAACTAGAAATCGACATTTCTTGACAAAGCTAGTTTGATTGTTAAATGGAAAATGTTCTTTCCATGTCAATTTATAGATTATAAGGTTATAAGCTAGCTATAATAGAAATACCATGACATTGAAGGCAAGTATATTCTACAGTACAGTTACTGTAGTATAGGTAATTTCTTTCTATGGCTAAAGGCATAGTATGCCTAAAAATGCTATATTTCACGAAAATTGTTTTGGTATCTTGTTACAGTTTTCAAAATATACACATTTGGCACATAGATGAACGTTTTGGCTCTTATGCTCTGTTGTCAATTTTGTATTATTATATAAGAGTTAGTATTTTGTATAGAAGTAAAAAAATACTGATTTGTTTACATTTTGCTATCTAAACGACACATTCTTGCACATTCAACGCTACTTTTTCAGCCGTTTAACATCTTAAATGTTCTAAATCCATTATAAGCATATTATTAAACACATGTTAGACATTTCTAAAGAATTTGATAAATATAAGTTCCGTTTGTTTGTGTTTTATATAGAAATGCAGGCCATGTTTTATATACTAAAATTGTATGAAAAGGTTTAAGATTAATTCTGAGACAGACGGATAAAATAACACTTATATTGTCGCCAACCTATCAAAAGAAGGGAAATCAAGATAAATACATAAAATAAACTTGTAGAATAGTGTATTACTTTGATACTCGAATATTTATACCAATAACCAAATCTTACATGACGGCGTTTCTCTAACATTTAAAAGGAAATATTTATAGATAACACCTTTTCACCTTTTGATTGTTACAACTTTTACTGACCTTAATCACCCACGACGTTTGCGTGCGTGTCTGCAGTTTGAAACAAATCGTTATAGCTTATTTATATTAGAAATTTAAAACTGCCTCGACAATGTTCAGATTAAATAGAGAATATTTGTTTAGTTCAGTGTAAGATCGGAATATATTTCACCGAGTGAGCACCAAAAAGTATATTTCACGAGTGGCGCAGCCACGAGTGAAATATGAACTTATGGTGTTCACAAGGTGAAATATATTTCGATCTTACACTAAACTAAACAAATTTTCTTTTTATTATATGCAAAGAAACGTTTTAAAAAGACATTTAACCTAATACTGAATGAAAAGCGCGCCAAATAATAATACAACGTGACGTCATTTACGACGTCACGTCATTAAGTTGGTACCCAGTACTGTGCACGCTGGAATACCACTGAAACAACGTAAGGGGCTTAAATTCAAAACAGTGAAATTATCAAAGTGGTAATTTCACTGTTTGAAACAGTGAAATTACCAGTTTTATATCACTGATATATTTCTATAAACCACCGAAAAGCATGTAATAAAGATATATGACGTGATTCTGTAAATGCCTCTCTCCCAATTATTGAGTCAATCAATTTAATTTAATTTAACAGATACAAGCTTGATCTTTACAGTCTTTTATTACACAATTTAAAAACGTTCATGTGTTATGGCAGACATTTTGAATATAACATTTAAAACAAAAATAAAGTGTTCGGTAATGTAGGTTTTATTACGCAAATCTGACTTATACACAAACAGTAGACTAATAGCAATTGTTTTGTCGTACTAATGACGTCATCATGAACGGCCAGCGGAAACAGAAATAAGAAGAAAAGGAGCATATTTAAATAAGGTTTAATAAAATGAAAAAAATGCTTTCTTCTTCTAGTTCATGTAGTTATAAAGAACTTTTTGGCGGACTCTTACATTTATCAATTGACTTCAACAGTTGTGATTTAAATTCGCACCGAATATAGTTTTAACGATAAAATCGCATGTATCCCACGTAGGTCGTTGTCAGCAAAGGTAAATATTTACTAAACTGTCATTTGTAAATATTCCAATCAATGTCGTATCTTTAAAATTGATATAACTCAAAAATCATATGTTCTTTACTTAAACTTCCTCTGTGCGTTTTGATAAGTAAATAAAAATCAGCAGGCTCTTTCTTTCAATACCTGTATTCATTTTTATATTTACCAACTGGCTACTTAAAATTGGTAACATTCTTCAGCTTTGTTTGAAATTGAACGAAAAATTATCGCGCGCGTGTGTGTGTGTGCGCGCGCGCGTGTGCGTGCGTGTGTGTGTTTATTTTACACAAAACCTTTTTGAGTTCGGTCCAAATTAACAAGAATAATATCCGAACTTATCAAGAACCCTCAGTTTATGATGTTAAATTAGTGTCTAATAAATGATCATTGATGTGTTCAATTGGTATAATGATATAATGTTTAGAATTTCATACATTGTGCATATTAATCAAGTATATATAACAATAATTGCCTACCGACTGCGTAAATGTTGGTGTCAGGAGTTCACTTACCGAAACACGACAGTTTAATTCAGGAACACATACATCTTGCAGTGTTCCATTTTTCAAGATTAATAACCCTACAAGTAATTATTATGTAATTGTTATGTAGGATATGCTTACAATTCTATATGTATGGACAAACAAACATATGCAAGTTTTCTAGTTTTAATCCGGCAGAGTATCTTCTTGAAAGATACTTCTTGTTTATCGTGCATGGTCTTTGTTAAAGTTTACCAACAATACTTCACACACTTAGAGAAATCATTATTTGCAAAAAAAGCCGGATAATATTTTATTATTATTTTATTAATTTTCAAACATGTATAATTACAAAGGAAAACAGTGTTACATAAAACATTTTCAAACATTTTCATCTCGTAAATCTTGTTATTATATATAATATGCAGTTAGTATATCGCAATACATGTGTTTTTCGTACTATTACGAACTATCATATTGCTAATACGACTTTGTAGCTATTGATTAAGAGATGAAATGGTTAAAAATATTTTGGTTATCAAACATGATGATGATACACGTCGAGGATATTGGAAAATATTTTATACATAACTTTAAAAGTGTTTAAATAATCCGTGTAAATCAACAGAAAGTAAATAAAATATTTAATAAAATAGCATTAGATAAATAGATAAGATAAATGGCTTTAATCAGTTTAAAGGGTTTTTAAATATATATCTGTTACAATATTTACAAGCTCATGACAGATTACTAACATGCTGGGAGCATGAAAATGCAGATATTTAAAAAAAAAACCTGTAAGTGGGGGTATTATATGGAAGGTCTTCCGCATTTACCTTACCAATCGTATTTTATCTGTTATCGTTAGAATTTTTTGGTCTATTCAACATGTTTTAATCTTGAAGTTTAGATTTTCAAAATATGTCTGATAAAAAATAATAGTTTGCCATTCTTTTTATCTTAATACACATGTTCTGGTGTCAAAATTGATAACCTCTTCTAAGTCGATCTAAACAATTTCAAGGTTTGTAAGTTTAAAAAAAAGATTTGAACGCAAATATCACGTATACTTTTATTAAGCCGTGAGGTCTCGAGAGGACCACACAAACATGTTACAGCTCCTTGGACTAACACTAATTGTGGCCACGGCATGTAAGTTGCATTTTATTATTACATGTATCAATTTTATAAACACATAACATCTTAAATAACATAGTAAACATTGAATATATTTTGCAATTTCGTTAATCGAAAATAATAGTAATAGAAGAATAAAAATCTGAGAGCAAAGCAGATTTGGTTTTATTGAGAGTGTTCCTGGCGAATTATGAAAATCTTAAATTTATTCAAGTCTCCCCAATGTGCTCATTACAATACATATAAGACAAATTTATCAGTGAACATTACAATTCTATGAGATTAATAAGGGACAAAAAAGTTGAACAACCAGCTTCCTACGAGTATAAAATCTTAGATACCCTTTGCTAATTGGAACTCGATTTGCAAACACTTGTTAAAAGAAGTTTAAAGAATCTACTTAATATAAAAATAGATTTAAAGCATAGGGGAACAAGGTACCTTACAAGTTTAATGAAAGGATTAATATGAGCATGTCAAATTTAATCAAACCAGGTTAAAATCATTTGTAAATGTATTTTCGTATGTGCACATCTAAAACACAAAATATTGTTTGAGATAAATTTTCATTTTGTAAATTTAGTTTCCTCTGTTCAGTGTGTTCAAACAGGTTTAAAAAGAGAATATCGGCAGTAGTGCGAATATATGTTACTTTATCAATATCTGAGAGCGGATCAAACATTATTTAGACAATCAAGTCGTAACGTATATAATAATGGAGGCCGTATTATTTTACAATACATGTTTTTCATCTTCCAAGATGGTTTGACAATAGTAACACAATCGTGAATCAACTAGAAACGTTCCAGCATACTGCTCCTGTCCCACTTCAAAATTTTCCTAAAGCACCCCATATGTAACCTGCTTCATACGTTTTACAATATTTTTCAATTTCAAAGATATCCTTAAATGTTTTTTCATCTCGCTCCGTTCATCCCGGTACTATTTCGGACTGATTCTAGATTACCAGTATAATTCCATAATAGAATACTCAATACTTTAAGAAGTATAATATAATAAAACAAATCTTGTGTATGTATATGATTTTCAACATCCATAAATCGTTTTATTTAATGCTCCTGAAACAATGGTCTTTGAAATTCAGCATCTAACATATTTTACTTGAAATACTACTTACTCTTAAACATGTTTTGGTTAAGCTGTTTACTCGTACGTTCATATTATTAAAACTACACCAGTCTGCTATCAAATGTTCCAGCAACAATATATATCCAACCAATATCGCGACAAACTGGAGCATTTGGAGTATATATCTCAACATCAAAAATTATCGCGCAGCTCTATTATACACAGCACCTAAACAAAAGAATGCATCACAACCCAAAACAGTTTATGCATGGTAATTGCTGGTAAATTGTAGCTTCATTCATTTTTGTATATACTTTATGAATGATACTTTCAAATGCTTTAGTTTTATCAATTAACATTCCTTGTACACTATGAGCAGTCTGAGCAACACTTCTAGTAGTACTAGAAAAAGTTTCGGCCAATACAAGACCAAGATATCTATACTGTGCAACATCATTTAAAGTTGTATCTCCTATTCTAAACACAAAATCTGAGTAAGTTACGGATAGGTTTCGAAATTGTAAAATGTTAGAATTAAGTGGATAAACATTCATATACTTTGTAACACATCAGTTATGAAGATCATGTCTCTTACTATGAAGATCATTTTCACTATTAGTAAACATTATCGGCATTTAACACGATTGGTTTATGAGATTTACACCAATGTGGAAAATAAATTTTTTGCTCTTAAAATAAAAAAAAAAATGATATTGACTTTCAACATCTCAAACATTTGGTTCTCTGTTTTTTTGGTAAAATATTTATATTTGTTACGACAACAAACGTATGATTGCTTTATAACAACAACCAAACTAAAGGAGTTTCTGATTTTACGAGTGTGTCAATGCCTTTCATGTTTAATTTCAAATTTATTTTGTTTAAAATATAACATTTCGTGGCGGAGGATGTTTTGTTATTTCACACACTTAAATATTCTGTTTGAATGTTTTAATGTGCTTCTTTGCAGTGTCACATTATTTAGTATTGAACAAAGGCATAAATTTATCTTTATTATCTATAAGTTACCATAATTCAATATATAAATCGTACTTAGATTCTTTTTGTATTCCTTTGTAGCTTGCTGTGATTGGTCACCATGGCGCCCATGCGACCGTGCATGTGGTGGCGGCAATAAAACTCGCCACGGAGATTGTGGTCTTTTTGGATGGAGTTCCAAGACTGAAAGAACAACGTGCAATGAATTTTGTTACAACCGCGGCTCATTTTACGGTGGTCATTGTCACTGCACAGCTTGGAGATCTGGATCATGTTGTCAAAGTAAATGAAACATTCCCAACATTATTTAGTGCTTCTCAATTGTACAGGGAGTTTTTATTTTCATAATATTAAATATTAAAAAGCTATACCATTTATTGGCACACTAACCCTATTATTAAGGTTTTTACATGAATTACTGATATGTTTTCTTGCACAAAAATTTATTCTCAATATAACATTTTATTTGATAAACTATTCCGCGTTGTCATTTTATATTGTTCACTTTTAATTCGGATTTCAGATCACTTCAACCAAAGACACCGGTAACTCATTATAAAACTCATTATAAAAATAAAATTATATGAAGATATATCAGTATGATCTGCGCATTGTATCCGTAAGACGTATATGTTGTATATATATATATATATATATATATATATATGTATGTGTATGTATGTATTCATGTTTAGAATATTTATGTTGAACTTCTCCAATTATTGATGTTTTAGGTACATTTTTGCTTGTCATTGTTCGCCATTTATACCATGCTTGTAATGCCATCATGGGCATATAGCCTAATAGAATAAAGGATAAACTACTTCTAAAACATTTATTTGCATCAGAAATGAATTGTTTTGTTCTTTCCAAGGGCAAACATTTGTTTAATAATGGGTTACTAATGGATTTAAAGAATGATGGATGCATCTCATTGTAAAACACTAGCGCTGAATGTAAAAAAATATATGTAATACGGTAGCAAAATGTAAACAAAATGGTATTGTATATTCCATACGAATAACCAAATCACTTTATATCTGTATTCTGCTAAAGAGCAGAAGAAATAAAAGAATTTAAGATTTATTGCCGTTGAGTTCTATTTTCTTTTTTGGAAAACGTGACAACGTAACATGTCACCCAAAAATAACTTTTTAAATTAATAAAAGTTACAGCATTTTTGAGGGTAAATTGCCGCAGCTAAGCAGTTCTTAGGAAATATTTTTACCCCTATGGTATTGGTTTAAGAAAAATCACCAATCCTTATTCTCTTCTTCAATTGTCTGGCTACTTCTCCCTTATCATTATGAAGTTTAATAGTTAGCATCAATGCGTTTGACGGCAAATGCCACGAGATTTGTTGATCCATTCCATGTCTAACACCTTGCCCTGGAGCAGAAGCCCTTAGACTTTAACTTCAATATCTGCTACTGCCATAATTTTGACCCTCACCTCCGTGGGTTGGAATCCCGACAGGAACATTGAATTCTTTCATGTGAGTAAGCTATCCGGCTAGCCTACTCATGCGCCCGTTCGTGCCAGAAATAATGCACGAACGGACCTCTGAGGTCTTCCTGGAACGACGCCGTATGACCTACACTGTGTCGGTGTAACGTAAAATCCAATCAAACAAACAAACCGTCATAACTATAAATGATATCCGTTTTTGCCACATTTGTCACTACTCTATTCAAAACGATAGAAACGTAAAGCTATCAGTGAGACAAGACATCTTCAAACTTATTCTTGGAAGTCCCTAAAAGTAAAACTTTAACGAATAAGGTGTAAAAATCTGAACAAAGTCTTTACGTTTACTTTGTAATATTATATAAACATCATGTATTGCTATATTACAAAACAGACAACTATGAACGAATTTAATTAAATGTGTTTAGATAAGCTAATGATTTTAGTACATTACTAAAATAAATATGATGCATTCAAAGTGGCGCTGATACTATTTGACGGTAACTTGCACTTTCCAGTACGTCCATGAACGAGCCTTCATCATTTTCAATTTTGCCGTGTTGGACTTTTTTTGGGGTTCTTATTTTTTCTAATTCATAACATTTTCCAAAATACATAATTGAAATGTAAAGACTTTTTCCTTTATAAACATTTAAAGAAGGTTTTATTGAGTTCATTCTTGATCCAGTGGTTTTATTCATTTACAAGCTTAAAAAACATGCCGTGCTAAATAAGAACGATAACAATAAACCTGTTAACATTCGTCCTGACATCATTCCGTTAAACATGAATGCATGTTCGATCACCAGAATTTTGCATAATCCATTTAGTTTTATGCGTTATTAAAGATTTTAGATGTTTTATAAAAAATAATTTCTTTTTGCAGCTTGCAGAAATATATACATTGCCCATTGTAAACATGGCAAACAAGCATGCGGCGGAAGTCCTGACAACATTAAATGTACAGAGTGCGAGAGATACTACGTACCTGCAGGTTATGGAAATGGATGTAGTAAGTACATATTCTATTGGGATCCTCCAGATGGCACTTACTGGTCAAGTAGAAAATAAATATTCAAATAAATTTTATTATTACTAAATCTATTATTTTATATGATAATATAACATATGTTTTGACTTTGCAGAGAGATGCCAACATAACTATGTTGTCGATAGGGGCGTACCAAAATGTACATGCAAAGATGGCTATAGGCTCTCTTCAAATGGATATTCATGTTATGGTAATGTCATTTTCTTTTTATATGAAAAAAAATCTTTATCGATTAAAATGATACCAAAATGCAAGAAAAAATATGAATAACAAAAATGCATTTGTAAAATTGAAAAAAATGGATTCATATTTTGTTGTAATAGTGCCCAAATAAACGAATACATGTGAGCTAGAAATAAAACAAATGAAATAACTAAATAGAATGGAATTTTGAGGAAGATTGGAGTTTATGGAGCCTACATATCATAGACGAACGTAAAAAATACAAATATTTGTATAAGAAGAAGGTAATATATCCTTAGGGTGATTGTACTGTATGCAAGGTTGAAAAGAATAAACGAAAAGAAAACACAACGAATACAATAATAATGGCAATTCACCATAACATATAATTGACTTTACGGAGCGAGTTTTAAGATTTCATTTCCAGTCTGTTTTTATCAAATATATAATGTACTGGCATCGTGGAATTGCTAAAATATATCCCTTGATAAATTAAATCATAATGTGGAATCTAGTATTGAAATTATACTATGAATCTATCTTTAGATGTAGATGAATGTGTCGTTGGCAACTCACATTGTAACCAAATATGTTCAAATACTGTTGGATCCTTCAAATGCTCCTGCAGACACGGCTACACCCTCGATTCTGACGGTCAAACATGTTCTGGTAATTATAATTAGAAAAAGGAAAATAGTTAAGTGAAAACAACAAAATGATTCCATTGTTTTTGGTTGCATTTTGAATTGGCGTCTCCTTAATCATTTGTTTTCAGTATGTTTTTGTAAGTTCTTAATGATACTGTTTGCAGTTTGTTTCGTAATTTATTTGTTATCGTTTCTGTTCGTGAAAGGATTGCTTGGAGATGAGATTAAACTATAAACTACCTTTATGAATGACTTTATAGATATAGACGAGTGCCTAACTGGAGTGGCAAAATGTGAACAGAAATGTATCAACTTGCCGGGTTCCTATAGATGTTCTTGTCGTCCAGGGTTTACATTATCGACAGATGGCTCTTGTACAGGTATGACTGATAAAAAGATAAACGATTTTGTATTCGAACACGTAAATAAACCACTGTAATGTATCTCGCAGGTATGTATTTGTCAATCGTATATTTAATTGTTACAATGGCTATCGTCTTTATTAAATTTTATCAAATTTAGAAATCACATCAGAACGTTGCATTACCGTCTTGGATTTCATGCTTCAGATATACATGGGTCGTTCTAGAGAGTCAAAATCATTATACGTTTGCATGTTTACTGTATAGTTCATTGCGTTATGTTTGTTAGTTTAAACACACATCATTTTAATCAAACTATAATCTGTACAGACATCCTTTAATACATGTACTTATTTTATTTCTACTCAAAATATGGATTTTTCCTTGCTCTTTGTAGATATAAATGAATGCAGCAGAAATAATGGCGGATGCATGCAAACTTGCGTAAACGAACCAGGATCATTCCATTGTAAATGCCACGATGGATACCGACTGGAGTCACACCGACTATCATGTGTCGGTAAATATAACGTTTAAGCACTTAACATTGTCAGATGTAGTTATTATTTATATGTAATGGCGCTGGAACGGAGACGCGTGACTCAAATAGCTGAATATCATAAGCGAAAATGTTCAATGACAGTTATTCGCGCTCCAGCCATGCCTTGTTCTTATTCCGTCTGGGGTGTTTTGACACTTGCTGAAAATGATGACAATATCGATAAATGATTACCTTCTTTGACCTATTTCTATAATCGAAATGGTCAGTTATGTACTGCTGAATTTCGCATAACATTCTCAAACCATGCAATCTATATGTCAATGTTAAGTGTATCTTAGACCAGTTTTTGTTTTTAGATATTGATGAATGTAGCGAAGGAACATCAAAGTGTTCGCAAAAATGCCGAAATATTCACGGATCATACACATGTAGTTGTAACCAAGGTTTCAGGTTAAATACTGATAAATATACTTGCGATGGTAAGCGACAGTTACACATTAGAAACATCGAATTCAATTTCCCTCACAGTAACTAACTAATATATTCTTTTAGATAAGTTAGGCTAACATAAGTCAATCTGATTCAATTCGAGCTTTTATATAAAGTGTACTTTGTAATGATATATTAAATTTGTAATATTTTGTTTTTTATTTATTTGCTTCGTGCACGTGCATGTGTTTTAGATATTGATGATTGTCTCGGCGTTATATGTCAGAATGGAGGATCATGTCTTGACAACATTGGTTCTTTCACGTGTTCATGCAAGAAAGGTTTTACAGGGAGGAATTGTGAAAATGGTAACTACAAAAATATTTCATCTTTGTTTCTCTTCAGGCAGACATCTTTTAAACTTAAAATATAAATATTCTTGTTATTTATTTTTCCAATTTAAGCTATAGCACAACCAATGCTTTGTTTCCTTTTTAAAGAGTATTCAAATAGGCTTGAAGTACTATCAGTTGCATTAAAACTGAGGGTCCTTGGTTCATACTCCAGATGGATCAACTTTTTTTCATCATTTATGTATCTTTTAGATCCCCTTTTGTAAAGTAAAAGTATTTATATTTTATTTCATAATTATTATTTGGCATTTTAGGCTTAAATTAATGCTAAATGTAATAAAAATGTGGTGCCTGATATTTCTAATAAAATCAAAACGACACGGTAAAAGTATTAAATATTTGACAAAATCAACCAATTTTCTTTTAAAAAAATGTTAGGCAAACTTTGAAAACAGTCCTATATGTTGTTGAATTTTAAGGATAATTTTCCTAAGGCTCTCCTTTTTCAAAAATGGTCAAACAAGTTTTTAAATTGGATGGGGCAGGGTAACATTTTTATACATATTCAAACATTTTTAGTGGAAGCATTTTACTTGAGTGCCTTGTTAGCTAGACGGTATAAGTCGTTTATCTTAAGAACGAAAGTCATAAGAATGAAATTAAAGATAATTAAGAGTTTCCACATATCTGGAAAAGTGCCCATCTAATGCCCAAGCTGTAGTACAGATAAAGTGTCCATAACTCGAAAATAGTACGTAATTATTTGTTTAAATTTTTCCATAAAGGCGACCTTTAAGGCATATGTAACTGACTTACATTTTCAACTTTTGCTGTTCCTTAAATATTGTCTATTAGTGGGACCATACATTGATACACTATTTTGATCAATTTGAATCTTGAATATTTTAAGTCATGTGCATCCATGGCCGAGTGGTTAAATGTCGCTGACTTCAACCCACTTGCCCTTAATCACTATTTCCCCTAGGGTCTCTGGATTCTTGCATTTGAGGAAGCTATCCGGCTAGCTTCCGGAAAATCGGTGGTTCGGTTCTACTTAGTTACCCGTTTGTGCCTGAAATAATGTAAAGAGGTATACATGAGGTCTTCCTCTACCAGTAAAACTGGAAAGTTGCCATATGACATTTATTGCGTTGGTACGACATACAGCCCAACCACAAATTACGACGAGATAATCTTGCCACTTGAAATGAAAGATTTATGATTTAATTTAACAGTTTAACTACATCAAAACCGATATCGTATGAAGAAGAATGTAATCATTTAAGTGTTTGTTTTTCTGAATTTTTTGCTAAAGTATTTAACAAACATTTTAACAAGATAAAAACTGTCATAGATATAAATGAGTGTGAGGGGTTTCTACATGGGGGATGTGAAGACAAATGCGTTAATACTATCGGGTCTTTCCGGTGCGAATGCAGTGGCAATACAACTCTGAACAATGATGGCATCTCTTGTACAGGTAATACACATAATAAAACGTTATTTTGTATATTGTTCAGTAATAAACCGACTACATTAATATAATTATCATCTAATTGCTAGTTTGATTCATAGTAGTAACAAAAGGGTGAAAGAAGTTAATAAGTAATAGAAAGAAAACCTAAACATAAAGTTATCTGGTTTTGTAATATGTGGTACAACGATGTTATGATGTTTTAAAATATGATTTTATTTTGCCCACCTGTCCTTAAATATTGTATTTTATCTAATAATTTTAAGCGTTGTGGAATACATAGTTTATTTTATATGTCAGTATCCTATTTTTATTTTTCATTTCGTAAAGATATATATTTGTATTTTTATTATTAGAATGTGAATAATGTTCATATATGATTCAATGAATTTTATAGGCGGAGAGAAAAGAGCAAGCGTTTTTGCGCGACACGGAATAGCTCGTCAACTTTTACCCCGAGGCTGTTCCACTATTTTATTGACAAGATGTACGGATGGTAATACCGTTGATGTGTTTATGTCTTCCACGTCGCCTTGGTACCAGCTACAATTAAACAAAAGCATCATTTATACGTTTGGTATTGTCTTTGTGGAAGTAAACAAGCTGGCTCTACCGGTTTCTATTGCCGGTATGGAAATATATAAAAGTAATGACAGTTTTGCTATAAAAATGGGGTCACTGGCACTAAATGAAAAAGATGGTCTAGCTTATGGAAACAAAAGAAATTCCGATTGTCTTAACTTTGCTATAACTCCACGCGATATCCGTGACTTTCTAATGTCTTCGTCCTTTATGAAATCGGTTTTCCAAAATATCGAGGACATTTTACCTGACTGGCTCAAATTTTCACAGTTTGGAACGGACATTTTAAATGTCAATGATTTACATACAGAACTTCTTCCAGGCAATGAAATTAAAACTGGAACATGCCGCGGCGCACCTGTGTATGGAAATCGATTATACACGGTGTTAAAATTTGGTAGCAGTTTTTCGTTAAGTTTATATGGGAATGATGTCGTTTTACCAAAAGTGATCACAAATGAACAATTTTGCTTAATCATAGACATTTGTCAAGACTATGGTGGTTCGCTTTTCCTGATTATTCCAAATGAGTCAAGAAATATGCTAAAAAAGTTAAATATAATTGGTCAATTTACACGCAAGTACGGGATTGAAATACAGCCTGCTGGAATTGGGGTTTCTTTGTTAAATCATATCAATGTAAAGAGTACAGCAACATCCCTTCAGCTTTGGAATGGAGACCAACTATTCAACTATCAGTAAGAAGATACATTTACATTATTTTATCATAACTTATATTTTTGTAAATTATATTTGACAAATATATTTAATAGAATTCCTTCTTAAAAAAACCTGTAACACAATTTTTTATGATTTTCTTTCATAAATATGATGCTCAAATTAAGATTTGTCAATATTTGAAGTTCCAATAAGCATTACTTATAAAGATATTACCGAATTTAACATTTCATGTAAATAAAGGGAGGTAATTATAAATTTATTTTCTATAAATTCTAAGCCAAATTTTCTTATAAGAAATTAATGCATATAATTTATTGATTACATATAATGTGCACAAATATTTGCAGTACATATTTTACATAGTCTTCGGTTTTTGAAAATTGTTTTATTTGCATAATTACATACATATATAATTTATTGTAAGTGTGGTACGCACACAGCAATAATATCAATAACAAAACATACAGGATCTTTAAATTGGTATGGTTCTATACAGATATACAGATCAATATCAAATAGAATTGACAAAGCACAATGTTCAGTTTTTATCATGGCAAAAAGAAAAAGAGATTTTATTTGTGACGGATACTAACTTTAATTCGCAACAATTATTCATATCTTTATTTTAGCACTTGCTGTTCAAGAGCTCATTACCGGCTGTTCTGTGTCGATGCGATATGACTGTGGATGATTTCATTACATGTCACACTTCCTTGTTGATCTTAATTTTCATATTTTACGTCAGGGAGCTAAATCTTTATTAAATATTGTTCCTAATATGAATTATTTTGAAGATGTATAAATCAAATTGACTAACAAAAAAACGGTAATACAAAGTTTATTTTACATATCTCATTCCGCTTAATTTTAAACAACATACCTGGATATCTAATATTTTTACCACAAAATCAAAACTACAGTACCCTTTAAGAAGTAGGGATTAACTACACTAATACGAGGGATTTTCAAATATGAATGCAACTGGGTCAATTTTCATATGTGTTTTACAAAGAGTGCCAAAATAATTATCTCAATCCTTCAAAGTACTCACCAACATGTGATTTATAAATTTTAGTCTTTTAATTCAATTTTTAAATGAGTTTTCATAATCTTTTCGAGGTAAACTGTTCAGACGCTGGAAACTAGCCTAACCGAGATGTTGTCGCGTTTGATATTTTCTTCCAGTAAGGTTTTTTTTGAGCCTCGGAAATAGGCAAAAGTCACAAGGTGCAAGACCTGGGAAAATAGGATGGTGAGGAAGCTCGACAACCTTTTCCTGTTTCAGATATTCTCGTATAAAGGCCGTTTTGTTTGACGAAGAATTGTCATGCAACAACCTGACGCCACGCAGACCAGTTGCTGGCCGACAGTTTTTGAAATATTTCCTTAATTTATGAAGGACCTTGCCTTTGTAAAACTTGGCATTTACAGACTTACTCTTTGGTACGAGAATTTAAATAGCAGGACGGTCATAATGCGTTTTGCTATGCAAGGCCTTTGTCTTCCTTTGTTTGCCCATATTTTGTTATGTATCTTTATCTTTCGCTTGGGTTCATAAAAGTGAATCCACGTCTTATGATGATATTAGAAAGATCGATTGTTGTATTTAGGGAACTATTTCAACAATTGTTTGGAGATTCTTACGTGAGCAAGTTTTTCTCTTTTGTAAGGAGATGGCTCTTATCCTTCTTATTCAAAATCACGTTTCCTACAGATATACCAACGCAGCTGTTTACCTAATTGTAAATCTTGAATCAGTAGCAATCAAATGCGTCACTTTTTAAACCTTTTTGGGCAAAGATGCAGTGTTCGGACGGCGTGCACGAAGTGCATCTTTTCTGAATCCAGACCACTTTTAAATTCCTAACACCTTTCTTGACAGATGAGAAAAAAAGTTCATTGTTCCAATAAACAGGACATACTTCATTAAATATGTATTTCGCAAGAATACAGCAGTTCTTGATAAAGGACCGTATTTGGTCAGTGAAAGGAGACCTGTTATCAACCATTTTAGCTTTAGTATAAACAAGTAGATATCGTTAATCAAGCTATCGTCAAAGCTAGACTGAAGTGATTTACACATGTATTTATCAATGAACATCTATACGATACATGTACATAGCTCGTGCAAAACGTGGTTAAAAGCGAGATATTGACCTAGTTGTATTCATATTTGAACACCCCTTGTATGAACTGTCATAGCATCCAATTTTAGCATTTTTATAAACTATGAAAATACTGCCATCTATGCAAATATTTTCATATATAGGTTTGCGCTTTTTACGTCGGTCTTACACCCTATACTCGTCACAGAGACTCGGAATATTCTTCCGATAAAGTAAATAAAATATCTAGAAAAACTCATACCTTAAAAGTTATGAATTGGACAGGGGTTGTACATCCAAAAATAAGCTTAATTTTAACAGTCTTAAGTCAAAGTAATTCTAAAATAAAGTATTTTAAGCTATATATAAAAGTGTAGGAACATGTCACCTCAAAATATTGATAATAAAGTTTTTGACATCAGACCATTCCCAAACAATAGTCCAACACCTCGCGTGAAATATCGTATTTTGATAGTTCGGGACAACACAGTGGTTACTTAAAGTTTGTACATTTTAATATTAACAGAAAATCAACGATGAGTAATGTCAAGTTATATTTACCTTAATGAAATTTATGTTTCGTTTGTAGGGTAATGCCTGAGGCAAATTTATGGATCGATGGAGAGCTTGTATGGAAACCATTTGACAAGCTATTTTTTATCGAACTTAAAACCCGGTCGAGTATCTTTGTATCAGTCCCAAAGATAACTAGCGTAAGTTTATTTCTTGCTACTATTTGTTTCTACCTTACACAGAAACTCTAAACGATTTAAGAAACACTGTTGGTGATTTATTTACGATTTTTGTAAAAAATACTTGTGCGTAATTTGTTTCAGTCCATCATTTGTTGTGATAAATTCAATTAAGGATTCGGTTACCTTAGATTTTTTAATTAGCATATTAGTCTAATATGATAGCATGAGAGTATAGTTTTACTGCTGAATGAAGTAAGAGGAATATTGTTGAGCAGACTAGAAATATGAGTACGCAAAGGCATATGTTACTATACAAATTCATGATAAATGTACATCGTTGGAATGGATGCCCACAATAGTTCAGAAGATTGAAAGAATGTTCATTTATTTTCTTCAGATCTTAAGGAGTATTTTCCTTGAAGAATGGAATGTCTATTTTAACATGGATCTTCTCGGATCAATCGGCATAAAATTCAAACTTTTCGGACAAATGCATAGGATACAACTTAACGTAGTAAAGAGTAGCATTCAAGCATATGCTTCACTTGGCGGTATGTTTATAGGATATTCTAGAGTTGTCTTTACTACCGATGATTATTTGTATAAAGATATATCATTTATTTGTTTTATCTTGGTCAATTTTATAATTGTAAGTTTTCTGCCGCCAGTTTGTTTATTTTTCTTTTATCATGATTTTAACAAATTTGTTATTGATATTTCGACTGTAGATCCTACGGACCGACGTTCTGAGATAAGTGACCGACTCCTATTATCTAATGTTGCTTTTGAATCATCAATTTGAGGCAAATGCAAATTAAACTCAATGTACAGCATTAATTGTAATGGAGGAATTACGTCTGCTCCGAGGATCGAACCAGCAACCGCTGGATTAATAGCCCAATGCGTTCTGTAGTCAGCTAAACTTGCTCACCTTTCTCTCAGTAATCAAGTTAACGTTTGTACTTTTGTGCAATACTTTTTTTTATAATTAAATGAACGAAGAAGCTATAAATTTGTTTTACAAAATTGTAGGTCTAATTACAAGGAAATGGTGTGGAGTGAATGCAGACCCTCCCGGATTGTTCTTGTCAGTAATAGTTGATATCAATCCATTTCAAGATATTCCAATTCTTAAAAGTGGGCTCTTTGATTTTAAAAACAAAGTGTATGCTTATTTTGCTACAGACCCAAGACCAACTATGAACAATATAAGTACTATTACTTTTATACAAAATATTGTAGACCTACATGGGGCAGCAGAAATATTTGTTAATACAACGATAAAAAATGTTTTCCGCTACGCATCCCTTCCTCGCAACACATCTAAAGAAGTTTTAAGTCATTTAAAGAATACAGCAGAAGAATTTGTACAAACTCTGGAGAATTGTTTGCAAGAACTTCGTGGAAATAATGAACACGTGTTTACTAACTTAATTGAACATATATCCGATGTTTGGGCAAACGGATGGAGCACTCTTAAAAAAGACTCTGAAACTTTTTGTGATTCAATCAAAGATAATGCATTTATTGCAAAATACAATTTTACAAACCTTATAGATCGTGAGCTTATTCATTTAAAAGATGATATTCACAACATTATTGATACTATGTCTTCACAAGTAATGCAACTGTACAACAATCCTATTGGATTCGGAATCAGATATAAGGGAACTCTTAACATTTTTTTCTTAAAATTTGCTGGTCTTGAGATTGAATTCGTCTATTCTGTTGATCAGCTTGGTGAATGCAGTCGTTTTCGTAAAGTTTATGAATTACTAAAGGGAGAACGTGCAGCAAGGATATACGGCGTTGCTTCAACTGGTCTAATAAAGGTAGCACCGTTTATTCGAATGGATGTTGGTGCTGGATTAGGACTCGCAATAAGTATTGACACACCAAATAAAATGATTGCACAATTCCATTCAGTGGTTAATGTGCTTGGTATCCAGGCACAAAGGGATACTTTTCTCACTCAAGAAGGACACTATTTTTTCTTAACTGGAAAAATTTGGAACACTTTTCTTGCCGAACTTAAAATTTCATTTGAGAGCAGCGAAAAAAAGGGAATTGATACGATTGATATTTTAGGAAGATTTAAAGCAAATGGAGGGGACGACAATTCGTTCCAAGACAGTTACCTTGACGGACTCAGGAAAATAATACAAAAGATATCAGATGCAGCCAATGAAAGAATTAGTTCGGTCCAGAATTTGTTTAGTAATGCTCAAAAAGCTTTCTCAAAGGCCCAAGATTGGCTAGAAGATAAGAAGATTACAATTCGAAATGCAAATTCAGCATTTGATGCAGCTATAAAATCATTGGAATATGCTAAAGATAAACTTGAAGATGCTAAAATTCCGTTTAAAAATGCAATAAGCAAATTAAATGATGCCAAAAAAAATTAGAAACAGCTGTGCAAGATTAAAAACATGCAGAAAGGTTTTTGCATCCCTGGGTATTAAATTTCGAATATGTTGGCATAAAGTATGGTTTGTAAAAATTCCTTTCCCATGTTGTCATTTTTACGAGCTGTTAATGTTTTCTGTAAAGCGGATCCAAATTTGTGTTGCATAATAATTTAGGATGCAGGGCTTTAGAGGTTTAGCTTACTATTGCTTTAGAAGCCGCAAAAGTTTTGTCCGTCTTCCCCCATGCTTGCAATTGGATGATGCTAAAACTTCTTGTGTCCGGGCGCCCAACGGTGGGTTGAACAAATCAAGGTGTTCTTGACATAGCCGAGGCCGCTCTCAGACTTTGGCAAGATAGGATTTAGAGGGAGGCAAAAGGTTATCTTGAAGGGCAAAATTTGCTCTTGAGGCGGTCAAAAAGTAGTAGTTGGCTGGGGGCTCAAAGCCCTTAAATTTTTTATCAATTGAATATGGGCATACAGAGTAATCATTGATTGAAGAATTGCGGGTTTGAATTGAATCATCGTCTTCATGACTGCAACTGTATTTTCACATAGGATGTGAAATAAACTTATTTAGACAAGGATTCAACAAAGTAAACTCGGTTGTTAATTTTGGTAACCCATTGCAAAAGCATTTGGGCAGGCGGCAAGGGACAATCGATACAGTGTTGACATGGCACGACCTTTATCGGGAATAGGAAAACGAGATGTCAAAAACAAGGCAACTATCTGGACTTCATTATTTAATACGTGAAGTCAGAAATTGCAATAGTAGTACAGATGATTTCGTTTTTAAAACGTTATAAACCTATTTTAAATACGAAGGGAGTCAGGAAAAATATTTCAGCGGGATAGAAAATAGAGTAAAAGTTTTTTCGGGAAAAAATGCGTTTAAATGGAAATATTATGTCTTTTTTTTAAATTTCCCGAGTGTTCTTAAAATGTCAACAAACTGAAAATACTTAAGTGCGTATCTATGTAAAATCTTTAGGAATTTTTTAACGTTGTGATTGCGTAAAATTTCTCAATAGAGAGCCCATTAACACTGATGCTCCCATGAGCCACTTTAACTGCTGTAGTGCAAAATTGCTATGCAAAGGGGAAAAGAAATTGAAAAAATACCCCTTATTTCAAGTATCAGAAATGTATCAATAGACTAAGCGATTTAAAAAGTCAAAAGAGGATTGGCTGTTAAATTATAACATGGCTTCATGGAAAAAAACGCTTATTTGAATATTTTTTGGGGGAAAGGTGTATACTTCTTAGACTTTTGTCACTTTTGCTACTTTTAAACTTTACGGAATTTGGCAAAAAATTGTAGATTGGAAAAACGTTAAACGTATATCTGATTTTGAAGATCATTCTGGATCTTGTTTAAAACCTTCGTAATGTAGTAAAAATATTTGCCGTACGACAAAAATCGAAGCAAAAAATGATATAAACCTTTTATATGTTTTTTTTCAAACCAAAAAACAATTTTGTTATATTGGGAACCAAAACATTACACAGGAAGCATTTTAAATTTTTTGCAACGTACGGGTTTCCCTTTCCCTCACATTTGGTGGTAAAAGACGATGAAAAATTCCCAGTAATGACGTATTTGTGACAAAAAGTTTCAAAAAAAGACGAGAGTAAATATCGTTGTGTGGCAAAAACGAGGGGCCAATTTTGACGTCGGGATTGTAAATATAGTTACGGGAAAGTTGTTTTTTTAAATTTTTGATTTCATGATTTAAGGAGACCGAGAGGGAGAGGAGGAGAGAAAAGAATGGGGAGGGAGGGGGAGAAGAGGGGAAGGGAGAGAGGGGGTTCAATAGGGAGAGAGAATGAAAGAGAGGGTAAGACATGGGCAGAAGCGCAAACAAATAGAGAAAATAAGACCCTAAAGAAAGCCCACACGTCAAAAATTGAAAAATGTTGAGGCTCGGTTGTTGAGCCTGTTATGTACGTACTGGGCCACTAGAAATGACATACAGCGATAGCAGGGAGAGTAAATGTATCACTAAAAATACATTTTTATTAACACAGATGCTTTCAATAATATTTCATAATATTTCTTATTTGCCCTTATTTTTTATTTTTTATTTAGAAGGAACACCCGCGGATCTTAAACAGAAGACAAAACCAGATGCGTCTATAAAATAACGTTGGTATTTAGAAAAGACAGTAAAGACCGTGATGGTAGTATTTCTGTCTTGATTTCACTCTCGCAGTAGTTAATTAATATAAACAAACGATGAAATTGAATAGTAACTTATTCAACATAACAAGTTAGTGCAATTGATTGATTAACTGATAAAGTTAACTGAAGTTTTTAGAATTTAGCTATTCAAAGTATATATCACTTATTGTAATATAGACGAAGTTTTTCAACTTGTTAATATGCTATGAAAAATCATAATCGGACAAAACATTTTGCTAGAACTAATTTGCTGCGTTTGATTTTGTTTGACTTCCTTTCTCCTTTTCAAGACCCCACTAGTTTGGTCGTAATATTAGGAACAATCGTCGGCGTTGTTATTGCCGTTATTGGCATAGCCACTGGATTTGCTTGGCGTTTACATGTCCGGTATTTTTTTCTTATTTTCTACTTTTGAAACGATGATTATTAAATTATTGTTAATAAAGAATTGTTTTGATTAACAGTATATCCACTTCTATTAATATTTACTGGGGTGTCAATATATAAAAAAATTTTTGACGTAAATAAAACCCTTTTTTAATTATTAAAATCGTGGGATCTTTTTTCAAATATTAATAAAATTAAATTGGCGCGCTCTAATTTATTCAAATACAAATTAATTTTCAAAAAAAAGGCCCAAAAGAAAGCGGCCCGGGAATTAGTAAGTTTCTTGGGTGGCCCATCAGTTCAAGAAAAAGTTTGATTAAAAAATTTTTGCTTTTGGACACCACAGGTGAAGACATTTTTAAAAAATAAAACATATTCACTTAGGGAGTTTAAAAAAAACGACTTTTTACCTTTACAAAAATTCTCATCCCCCATTATTTTTTCAATGTTCAAAAAAAAGTTTACTTTCATCAATAACCTACTATCACCTTTACGCAATAAAAGCTGACTGTTAATCACTTTAAGTAAAGTATCCTTTAATATAATTCGGTGTAAGAACTATGTATCCCTGTGTTGTTAAAATGACGATTAATGTGATTTTTGAAATGCAGAGCCAGATCGTTATAAGCAATCGCTAAAATGATAGCTTTACATTCATTTTACAAGATACCTGTATTTATGATTAATCTTAAACCATGTTTTCTTTTATATCACTTTTATATTACATTTTTTTTCTATATGATCATGCTTATTATTTATCTTGTGCACTTTCATAGAATTAATTTTACTTAATTGTATATATTTTCCTACTTGCTTACTTATAGTGTTGTAATAAGTGTGGCATCATATGTTGACTTTCTTCAAGATAAATTTAGATTTAAAGTGACATTATTTTTTTCTATATTATTATTGTCAAGTTAGCTATATTGCCTTTATATTTCAAAAGATTCCGTCAAAAATGGGTTTGACAAAACGGTTGATATTGGAAAATGTTTAGGATAAAATTATAATTCTGCCTAAAATTTAAAAAGACTGTCCCACTCTTTTTAAACTAATTTTATGGGTAAACTATAATGGACTTTACAGAAATTTCATTCAGATCTGTTTGTATTTTATTGTTCATTCGAAATCTAAAATTCTTAAATCTGAAAGGAATTATGGCAAATGAAACTTATTTAGATTTCACCCGTTAACTCACTATAATCCTGGATGGCGTAATGTCACTTTAATAAGTTAAAATATTTTTATGTAGGTCTGATTTCTGCTATTAAACGGTCAATTAATTGGTTCTGTTTTTCGTTGGTCGGGGGTTGTTTGGTTGGTTTGAACGCCGATTTTGTACACTTAGTAATCTCTCTCGTCGGCCTGTAGTGATCAAAGCTTTTCCAAATATCGAACAGTAATAACCAAAATTCCTCAATTAACGACTATTACACCATATGATTTCTGAAAATACAGCGGTTTGAGACAAAAATTTGACTATAAGACTCAATAACTAAATCAATTGTCACGGAAAAATTATCGTCTAGCTTGACAAGGGAGAAAAAAAACGGCCCCCGGATTACAAGTCAAAAAACAATTGTTAACGAGTAACAGGGTTAAGTAAACGGGCCAAAAATATTTTATTGTTACTGTAAAAATTAAAAAGAAATGAAAATAAAGCGCATACAGCTGTTATGGCATTAAATTATAATCAGCATAAATAAGTGTAATATTACTCTGAAATTAGCAGAGAGAATGTGAGCGACGAAAGTAAAGCCGATTTTGTGATCAATGCACCGAAGACCCCTTGTATCCATAAAAGGGCTTTCTTATCTGTTTCCTTTTATATTATATACCAATAGAAAGGGGGATGTCTAGTTATACCCAATATAAAACAAAAGGTTTTAAAAAAAGTTTGTTAATACATTTTATAGAAAAAAAGAATTTTTGAAACCCTTTTTTTAAAAACCCTTATTTTAGGAGTTCCCCCAAAGTTATGTGAAAACATTTGTCATTAAACAAGAAAAATTTTATTTTGTCAGTTCAGGGTCTTTCAAAAAAAAGACCCGGGGCATTTACTAATTTATATTTTTTAAATCGAAATTTCCCCCCAGTAAAATCAAAATTTCTGTTCCGGACAAATTTTAGAAGGTTTTTATGGTTTTTTTGTTTTATAAAAAAAGTGGCATCTTTTTATGAAAAGGGGTTTATGCGCTGAAAAAATTGTCTAAAATATGCAGATTCTAAGGCAAGGGCAAACATTAACTTCTTTATAATGATGATTCTCTTTGCAATCCATGGTCTTTTGCCAGACTTTGTAGCACAAATCTTGATTTGGTGTTTTCATTTTTGCTCTCGTAATTTGTCACCGGTCACAAAATAAAAAAAAAATGTACATTGTAACCTGGATACTGTTTAAGCAACAATTTAGCACAGTGCACTCA